ATATATATATATATATATATATATATATATATTGTCGACGCTGATGCACATATTCGTTACCTACTTTGTAATAAGGCTTTGTAATAAGGCTTTGTAATAAGGCTCTACTCGGTAGAGACATTGCGCGAGCAACATTCTTCTGACACACACGTATAATTCATATTATATAAATATGTTGTAATTTATATTATAAAAAACACTATATAACAATCAAGTTATATATATATATATATATATATATATATATATATCTTATATAAATCTATATATATATATCTTATATATAAATTATACGTGTGTGTCAGAAGAATGTCGCTCGCGCAATGTCTCCACCGAGTAGCCTTATTACAAAGTAGGTAACGAATATGTGCATCAGCGTCGACAATAAATAATGACTTGCATCAATAGAAACGATTTCTCGCGCGAGAAGTATAGCCGCAGAAGAGGGACAGCCTGTTTATCTTCCGTCATCTTCACGGTTTATCTTCGTCACTGTGCGATTCATCAATTATTTGCATCGATTTCGCTGACAGCTGCTGCCAAATGATTGTCCATTTTCCGGCACGCGAAATCGGTAATAACCTCAATCGTTCTCTTGCGTGTCGTTCCGCTCCGGACGATCGTGTAACAACTGCTATTTTTACGTATTTCACTTCTTGCGAGAAGAAGAAACGAACTTCATCGGAATGCTTTAGAATTCTCGTTTGCTTCTGATGATGACGACGATGCAAAGGCAGAAACCATCTTGTTTACTTCTAAAGATTCTCTCGCTAGGATCTCGATTTTATTTTTTGATATTTGGGATTTTCCCGCTTCTCGTTTCGACGAAGAAATAATATGCAAATCACGCAAAAACGCTTAAGTGACAAGTGTTTTTTGTTGTCGATTATTTCTTGCCGCGCTTTACATTTAACAAATTAACGCTCTTCTCTCTCGATTGTTATCTTTTCCCACATCTTTTAAGAAAAATTCAACACCCTCTCACCCGTACGGTGTGTGAAACTTTTAATTATCTTTTTAAGCGAACGATTCTGTTTCTTTCCACCAATTAGCCTGTCTTGATATGCGCTCACGTCTCTCTTCACTTTGTAAAACAATACGCCATGTTGTGTGTGCTTGCATATGCACACGTTCCTCCCGCGTTGCTGCTTCCCACGTGGAAATCCAGCGCCTGAATGGGGTCGTTTATTACCATCGATACTCCGCTCGATGTGTCATCCGCGACGGTGAGGAAGGTCGATTGTCTTGTCTTTCGACGCGTCGCCGTTTTCACGCTTCCATTCCGGCGTATGCGCGCGTTTTCAATCCGGCGACATTTTCACGCATTTTTGACTTCGTTTGCGTGACAGTTGCTCTCGCGAAAGGAGAGAACCTTTTAGGACAGTTTCTCTCACGAAAACATCGTCGCGTTTATCGAAGGCTGTTTGATATGCAAAGACGCGCCGTGCGTCGTGTGAAAGCCTCCGTTCGTCGAACAGAATAGAACAAAAGTGTTTTAGTCTCGATATTCTTCGAATTAATTAAACACTAATATTTGCATTTGTATTACGTGCTCGAGAATATATAACGGAGGATAATACTTTTAAAATCTCGTGAGAGACTCTTCGATGTTCGAGCGTATCTTTGAAAGTTTTTTTCGTCCGCCATCTTTTTTTTGCTCGATCTATCGATGTTGAGCGTCGACGTAAATCCACTCTCGACAACACTTTCGAATTTTCGACACACCATCAGCAGAAGAAACAAAACAAAATATTCAAATCCCGATGTCGCTGACTATCATCAGTGAGTGTTTTTCGAGAGATTCGCTCTCCGACCGGTTTCTCTCGCGACGTTTATAGTAGTAGCCGCTTCTCACGCCCGCGAATCGCGCACGGAGTGAAAAAGGCGGCTCGTAGTTAACGACGAGATAATTACCGGCCAGCGGCTCATTGTTCGCCACCGATCCGGACGTGTGCATGTATGTACGCACACGTTCCTCACGGCGCGACGGTATCCTGACTTCGATGACTCATGAACGTGCCAAGCTCGGCGGCAAATAACACACTCGGTGGAAAGTAATGCCGCAAGAAGTATAAGCGAATCGAGAAAGGAATTCGCGTTGCGAAATTGATCCTGCGTCTAATCTTCGTTATCGGAAATGTAAATTCCTTTCTAGTGTTTGTTTGGTTTTTTTTTTTTTTTTTTTTTTTCAAACTCAAGTTTTAATTATTATTTCTTACGGAATCACAACAAATCGCTCCGATGTTGATTTTATCACAACGCAAAGTGTCATAGCTGTTGAGTGTCCTTCTCAAACAGAGAAAGAAACAAATCGGTTTACACATTACAGATATATGAGCTGTAATGAGCTTTTAATTCTAATTATTCGGTTCCGTGTGCAACTTGTTTTATTTTAATTAATTCCATGTGCATTAATTTTATATTCAAAATCTCATTGTCTCGAGGAGGATTTGCACACGTAATTAGTTTTACGTCAGTCGTTTAGGGATGACGCGACGCATCGCTTTTTTGCGAACAAGCATCGCCGTCCGAGGTCTCTGGGGAAGGGGATTTGTGCCGCGATGTTTGATAATTTTATTGTTCGACATCTCACCACGCGACGTGTGTATAGACGCGAAACACGTTCGGTCTCTTCTCATCCTTCATCTTCGTTCGATCGTGTCGACGTTCTCTCCACACGTTCTTCTGTCCCGCCGGAACGGAAGCAGAGAAGAGACGGCAAGCTGGTGATACGCCAGAGAAAGACTCGAGTATATATCCTTCGAATTACATATGCGATACGCGAGATCCCCGACTCGTCGGGGGCACGATCGCGAGGATCGATAGCGGGTCGAGGGAAAAGTACGCAGTTTCTCCTCCTTCTTTACCTACCACTTCTCCACAGAGAGCGCGAGTCGAGCACGTCAGACTCTTCTTCTGACGCGAGGATCCACTCGTTACGTGTGTTTATTTTGCAATTATTACGTTCTCGCGTCTGACATGGGGATTGTACATCATCGTCGATTAAACAGACATCGGAGTTGTGCAAAGAAAACCGCGACCGTCGAAAGCTACCGGAGAACCGGTGCCCGCGTGTTTACGAATGTATATATATATATATATATTTATATAGATATAGATACTTACATACTTACTTCGTGGTTTCCGCTAACTTGGAGGCGTTTCACTATTACCAAACCTGTTTCTCTTTTCTACGCGCAGAAAATATAGATATCTCGTTATTACAAATCGCATTTTGTTGTAAATCATTCCGCATTAATTAGTTTATATATGTGTTAAAAATACATATGTTTTTTAATTTTGAATCTTAACTCTTTTGCTCTGGCGTCCTTGTGATGAAAAAAATACGATTGCTACGGACGGAACGCTGACATACGAAGTGCTTACGACTCACGATTGCGTTTTCTGTTTTATAAACTTGTGAAAATAAAATGCAACATAGTATACGCAATACGAACGTGTATGTTCTTCGAAGAGTTAAAAGCCGTTTCTCTCTTATCTGAAAATTTAGATTCTTTATGAAAGTGCGCAATGTTTCTAGTCACATTCAATAAGAAATCCTTGACAATCTTTTATTATTTATAAAGAGGTGTATCGCATAAAAATAAAATTTTCCATATAGTATTGGTTGCGAGATGAGTTGCGCATTACGTAACTGTGTTAATAAATTGCAACAACGGCAAGGTTACGGCATGTGCTCATCTTCCTCTCCTGCGAATTAGTTTGTCGCGTATAGGCGCAGAATCCTCTTTGCACAAGTCATTTCCCACGCGTCTTCGTACCGCTCCTAACGTAGCACGGCAACAACCGATCGTGCAATTCACCGAGTGAACGTTTCCACTTTTCACTTTTCACCTTTTCGTTGTCTCACATAAATCCGTTCCATTCAAATCTCGGAATTCCGAAATCTCACGATTTCTCTCACGTGCCAAAAAAAACAAGATGCCCGATTACGAGTTTTTGGATGGAACTTCATGTGTGAAAATTCTCAAATCTTATCATTTCTCAGCAAGTAGTGAAACACGCATTATTTGCATCCTCGATCTTAAGAGAAGAATTGCACGATCAAACTTTTCAACATCATGAAGAAAGAGAAAGATGGAAAAAAAAGTTTACAATTTTGAATTGAATTGCAAAATTTCTTTTGTTTAGAGTTGTAAAAACAAAACAGAAGTTTAAAATTTATTGATTATTCAAATTTTGAGGTTTTGTTTGCATTATGTCAACAAATAAACAAATTACACATGTAATACAAAACGCATCGAGAAACTATATAGTGGACTATATGTATGAGTTATTATTCAAAACACAATTTTTATTGGTCTATCTAGATCGAGATCCCGAGAAAAGTATATAGGCGTGTAGTCGCCGCTTCGAGCGGCGATCGAGATTGAAGATCGATCGTAAATAACAAAGTTCATCGGCTTTCAGATCGCAGGCCTCGCCGGGAACAGACTGGACGCCCATGCCGGGCAACGGAAGGACTAAGCAGCAGCAGGAGGGTCTCAGGAGCGAAAGAGAAAAAACCACCGGTGTAGCAGAAAACGCGGAAGTGCGTCGTGAAGGACGTGCGTCCTGACTCGTCCTTTTACACAGAGACTATTTTTTTTCTGCGAGAGAAAGAGAAACGCTCCCACGGAAAGGATGTCGCGAAGAACGAAACGCTCGACGCTTCAAGTGTCATCCTTGGCGCTTCTAATGACATTAATGATGACGTTGTGGAGGACATCACAGGCTCATGTGGCTCTGACGTTCCCGCGGGCTAGGCAGTATGACTTGGACTTCCTGGATAACGCCAGAACGCCGGCGCCGTGTGGAATGCCACGTGGTAAGTGTACTATATTATTATTAGTAGATCTCTGCGAAAAGTCTTCCCTTTTTTTTTGTTTTTTAATTCTCTCTGGTTGATTTTTATAGAAATTATAAATTAAACAAACACACGCACATTTTATTTAATGAAGAAATTTTATTTTTTCATTTTTGTTTTCTAAAAATCTCTCTGATTTATTTGCAGAGACGTTCGTTTCAGAAACTACATATTAGTAAATTTTAAAGCAAGATATTAGTTAAGTATTTAATATTTATTGATAAGAAAATTTTAAGTTTACTTTTGTTCTGAAACGAATCGCAAATACCATAGAGTCAGCTCTGAGCGCTCTCGTGTTCGTCTTCACAATTCAGCCTTCGCTGGAATGTCGGAATTGCTCAGGGAAGGGAAGATGAAGCGCAATACGCACGCGACGGAATCAGGTTCTCTCGGAGAGAGAGAAAGAGAAACCTGTCGATAGAGCTCGTGCTCGAACGCAACGCGTTCTCCGGAAACGCGCCAGGCATTTTCGTAGAGAATCGCGCGCTCGCGTTCGAGAGCGGTGGAAAAGAGCGGGGTTGTTGTGTGCACACGCGGGGATGAAGCGACGGTGCGCAGGGGACCGCCGGGTTCTATGGGAAAACGACATTAACACGGACGCTCGATCTCCCTCACCCGGTGGGGGGATAACTCGCCGCCAGTCGGTCCGTTTCGAAGCGACTTTCACCGACTTGCACGAAGGGAGCGCGAACCTCTCTCGGTACTCGCGGTTATTACCTTCCACGGTTCTACGCGTAACCGTCGATATCTATAAGTGTCTAGATTCCATATAGAACCGCAGTGGATGGAAAACGATATACAAATCGAAGATATCGAAATATGTATGTGAATATAAATTCCTCGAAAATTAAAGAGAAGGAGAATAAATTTAACATTTTTTCGCGAAATTTTATTCTCGTCTAGTTTCATACCATTTCAGATAAAATAAACTCGATGATCGTAAGATGATTTTTTTTTTTTATATTTCTGTAATGCATAATCTAGCAAGAATTTAAAAAATAGGGCTGTCGTATATAAAATGTTTTTTCTTCTTAAACTTTTTCCAAAAAAAAAGTAAAGTTTATTTCTTTTTCTTGTTTTTTCGCTCGATTTTCTGCCGAATACGAATGAGATGGAAACTTGAGAAAAAACAAGATCATAGTTTCCGTGTCCCAATGTGTTTTCGCATTGTTGCACCGCGCGCGAGATACAAGGCGCGCTGTTACAATTACCTTGCCCGCGCAGTGTCGTCGGATCCCCGTCATTTTTTCTTGCGAAAGTGTAATTAAGACCGCCACGCCGTAAATGGCACCGCACGGATTACGTAAGCAGGAGGGAAAGAGAGAGACCTGTATCATTACGTTGTCGGATGGACTGGTAGCGCGAGTCATTCGTTAAGTCTAACAAAAGGAGATGCGACGTCTCTTCTCCGCAAACTTCTTTTCTTCTGCGCTGCACCGCAGAACTTCGCTCTCATTTGCCTGCTCTCGTCATCGTTGGCACGTTGATTAATTTGTAGCGCGTTGCTTATCGCGAGCGCGGCGTTTTCTCACGCGTCGCACGAAATTGCGAAAAAGTCTCATAACCAGTCGGGGAAAATTGCAGCTCGGACGTGCGCGTGACGCACGTCAAACCGGTGCGTGGTCGGTTGCGTAGTGACATTTACGTTGACTTCGCCATTTAATTGACAAATTAAAGAATTACAATGTAATTATTTTATTTTTTTTTTTTTCAATTTACCGACACCACTTCATCATTAAATCCAATTATGTATTATTACATTTTTTTTCTCTGTCTATAATTTATAGACATATAATTGCACAATACATATTTGAAAATAAATTTTTTTCTATTTCTATTCAGGTTTCTTATTTTTATTACACTTTCTAAATTCGGTAGCAAAAATTTTATTGTTTTGACTTGAATGAATCTGCAATTGCGCTAACACATATATCGGTGCGCAAGCACGGCAATAAATTTTTCTTTCCGCAGTCGCAATTTAATCGAGCCGCTCTGGCGGCTCCGCTCGGTCAATGGAAGAGAAGAACCGCTTTCCTTCCGGAGACGCTTGGGGAAGCGGAAGGGAAGCAGTAGTACGGTAATACTGGAAAAGTTGATTAAAAGTACCGAGGGGTAATCAGTTATTAGCATTTATATTAAATTAGTATACGAACTTTGCGGATTTGCGGCAACCTGCTCTACAGGATTGCTTCAAAGGAATTAATATACATAACGTGCGGACACTAGGCGTTACGTAAGAAGAAAGAAATATAGAAAAATAATAATTATATATGTGTGCAATATTATCAAAATATTTATCGTATGACACTTTTGGGTGTGTATGTGTGTTGTGAATTTTTAAGAAAAACAGATGGAATATTTTTCCTATTTCACATATAAATGTTACAAACTTGTACAAATTTTTACAAAATTTACTCCAATCTTTTTAATTTACATATAAATGCTTTATAATCAATTTTGAATATTATGTTTTCAAGACGAGATAAATCCCTTTCACACACAAATCACAAATTTATTTCACATTTTTACATCGAAAGAATGTTAAGAATGTGACGATGCTGACGAGATTGAATAATTTAAGAAGCGAGAAGTGTGTCTCTCGCGACGAAAATATTCACGGAATGTCTTTTAATCGCGATATGTGTACGTATGTACCGGTGTTAGGGATATACGTGACCTCTCCGAAACAGGTTGAAACGCGAACGAGCAAGCCGAACGAGGCCAGAATCGCCGTCGTGACTTTTACACAGCGACGAATTTTAGAATTAATCGGCGATTGTGCGGAACGACGATTTATCATTGTTCGACTTTATAGATTTGCGAAACCTCATGTGACGGTCACAGTTTAATTTTGATATTCTACGTTGTTTTTCAGGCCACGTTAGAACGTCGTTACTGGCGGGAAGCAATTTTAACGTCACATGGCATCTCGCTTATCCCCACAGGGTAAGTAAGGTCCTACAAATTCTTTGAAGTTTATCTCGCACGTACCTTAGCTTGCTTTAAATGCGCGCCAGGAAAGATTTTATCGTTTCATGGAATGTATCAAAAGCTATAAAAGTTTTTTTTTTTTTGACTGACACAAAATAACTGACACGAGTAAGATCATGAATATGTACTTTGTACAAAAATAATGACCGTTTAATGAGTTATAAGTTATATCAAGGTCAAGAAACTTTATAACGGAATGAAAGAGATGTTGAGAGAGTTTGGTGTTCGCGAAGCTAATTAATTAACTAGCGAGAATAACGGGAATTTCTTGAATCCTAAACTTTAATTTGGTGTTATTTTTTTTTGAATATTTTATGATACCGCCATTTTGTTTTATTCGCAAGTTTTACGTTATCCGAAAAGATTTTTAATTTTTTTTACGTTAAAATTTTATCTTTTACACTCTGAAAATTTATGTGTGATTACGATTTACTGTATAATAATCAAACTACTTTATTACTTGTTTTTATTATCGCGCGCCGCTTAATTTTCAAGCATTCACGGAAACGAAAAGGAAGAAGAACACTCACTTTCTTAAACACAATCGCATGAATTATCATTTTTACACATTCTTCTAGTGTTGTTTTGTATTGCGTACGGATTTCTCGCGGATTTGCGGAGAGAAAGGAAAATGAAATGTAATGCCCCAGGTCCGGTACTGCTGCCGTTGGCGTTAAACTCTCTCATCGTGCGTTACACATCTGTACGTTGAAGCGTGAGCGCGAGCTACCTGCCGGCTGCTTAAAAGTCGTATTAGCTGTTACGTGAGGACAGGATAAAATTGTACGTGCCTTTTATTATTTCGCATCGGGGCTACTTTCTCCGGAGCGCTGAACTTTCCGCGGGCTTTACGTCCTCGGCCGACTTCGCGTTCGACATAATGGAGCATTCTTCGTGTGCACCGTAGATACATATCCGCGTAATGCTGTTACATTCTGAGACTTTTCTCTCTCTATCTCTCTCTCTATTTTCCTTTCTTTCATGATAATTAGTTCTTTTATACACCGCGCGAATGACAGCCGTACGTCCAAGCGACTTGGAAAAATTCGAATTTTCTCGAGAATGATTAAATTTGTATAGATTTCAATCTAGACGAATCAAGTTTAGCATAAATCGCCACGGGCGACGATCGATTGCTTGCACAATCTTATCGTACATAATCCCCGGTCGACCGAAGGAGAAAGCTTTACGATCCTTCGGAGAAAGCATTATATCGAAGCGTAAGATTAACGAGTCGCTGCATGCGATCAGAACTTCAAGGAATCATAAATGATAGCTTTGGGACGTCTAACGACATCGGGACGGGGTAATCGCCGTTTGTATTCAACGTGCGCGCACTCGACGCCGTTTGCAGCACATTACGAATTTGTCCGCACGTGGTCTATGAAAGGAAAACAGCACGACGACATCGAGAGACGAGAAAGAACCCGAAGAGAGAAGAGGATCTCTCTTTCTCCCTTTGCCTACGCGCGCGATCGTCGCTCAAGGTGACGCGCGCTGAATTATTCACGAGCACGGTTTCCTCGTAGGCATGCGGCCGTACGAGTAGGACGAATAGAACAGGCGGTATGAACAGGCGGCGGGGCACAGCCGAGCGAGGCAACCTCGCATACGTGGACATGGTTGCCTGGAGCCTCTGAGGTAGAACAGATCGGTATGCCGGGTACCGTAACTCGGACGTCGTCGATGACGGTCGCTCGAGCACGAAGGCGTCGCTCGCCTCCGGCCACTAACGTGCAAAACCCACGATTCTTAATCGGCGAAGCGTGCAGCGAAGCCAAGCGAATCCTCGCGCGTATGCAACGGCGCTCATGAAACATTCCCCATCATAACGGTTCGAGAAAATCAAATTTTACATTTTCGGCAGCGAAACGAATGTTCGAGTAAACAGAAGAAGTAGAGCAAAGAGTTGTTACATTCTTAAATAACATGTTATATACATATATAGCGGTAAAGAAAAGTTTATTAAATATAGAAACAACGGATAGAAAAGAGAAACCGACTAATTTTAATTGTGAAAATCACTTCGTGATGACGAACAATATTGAGAATCTTCTGTTGAAAGAAACAATTTTTACATCGATAAAGTGAGAAAAAGTCGTTTTTTTTTAAATACGCAAAGCGAGATATTGCGCGTCACACAAAGAGTCGCGGTGCGTCGTGAGACGCTAATATTCTTTACAGGCTGGAAGGAACGCGCGTATATAATAAACATTCGCGCGCGGATTGCGTTACGACGTTAAAATCTTGGCCGCGCGGCCGCAACTCGGAGATATTCGCGGCACGAGAAAAATTCGACAATAACAACCGTGCCTCTCCGAGTGTGCAGGTGTGTTCACCGTGCGAAGCAGAACCACATCGTTGCGGCCATCTCTTTCCTTTCTCTTCTTCGGCGTCCCAATGGGAGAGCCCCGCGACTGCAAGCATCGTTTTGTTCTCGCATCTCTTTCGCGAGAATATCCGAAGAATAAAAGACATTTATATTATGTGCGACATTTTCGCAAACCAGTTCCGCTCGATTCACGCGCGCGCCCGATCTAATTCAATCTTCAAAACCATAAACTTGGAGAGAAGCGAGGACGCAGATTCGTGCCAATGACAAAAGAATTAAACAGAAATAATAGAAAAGAAACCCTCACCGTTTGTTTAAGACACTTATGATCAAATATAGTATATATCCGTATATACTATAATAATATATAATTACACAAATATAGAATAGAAATAATTTACGAAACTTTCTTTCACTCTCTAGACGGATAAAGAGAAAATCGAGGCTAAGAGGATTAGCCGGGAGCAAATATTAACAATCGAAAAGACTCATTTCCCGCGTAAGGAAAAAATTATCCACGCTGCGCACTGTGATCAAGTTTCATTAGCATCCGCGGCACCAATCGCGCAGATCGTTCAGCAATAATTTCTTACGTCGTTTCTTCCTACGTATATATATATGTATGCGACAAGACGGATACGGATGTTACTCAATAGCGTTTATGAACTTGCGCATGAGCTCACACTGTACGCACTTTCCTAACGGTGCCTCGCGGGAGACACGCGGATGACGCGATTATAAGGAATCTCACGATGTAGCAACCGGTGGCGCATATTTAATCGCTCGAATACTCGCTCATTTGCTTCGCTATCATTAGCCTATTCCGTTATTATTATTTTCTCCGCGAGTTATCGCAAACTGGCGCGCGCGTTCGTAATTCGGTTTACGTTTCATAAACGTGTCAAGCGCGTTTCGTAAGTGCGTGGTTTCGAGGCGCGTTTGCGTGGAAACGCTAAACAGAAATAACGTGACCAATCGCGCAAGAAGCGCCGCGGCTCGCGCGTATATATGACACGTATTCCACATACCGCTATTTAACTGACCGTGTGTCGCTCTGGACACAGATATTTGTGCTGGAATGCGGCTGATATTCATCAGGATTTAATCATCAACCTCGGCCGAAAGAAAAATATTTTAGCAAGAACTAAACTTGACATCTCGGATATTACATAGCTAAAGATTATTAATTTATCTCTTTAACTTCTAACCAAGTAAAATTACTATGTGTATGATTAATACAAGCAATTATAAATATTATGTAAAATCAGTTTTTTATGATTTTATTTTTATTATTATGTTCTCAGGCATGTAATTATTTTATAAAAAGTTTTTTGTAACTGTCTTAAATAACACGTTTATAATGGATAATTGTGAAACAATAATGCTAATTGTCTCAGTCAATTCAAAGCAGCAAAATTCCGTTATTGTTGATTTATTGAGGATAGTGTAGCCAATCGACGGCGACGGAACGAATCGTCTGCAATATTTCTTGCAACTCCCGTCGTGTTGCATGAGAAAAAATCGAGAGATCGAACGAGCGGGACTCACTTTGCATCGATTCAGTTTAAAGCATCAAAACCGTTCGTTTTATCTCGTTGCCTCGTCCTGATGATGTGTCATTTATTGCGGAACTCACGAAAAAGCCATGAAATTAGCTGAATGACATAAAGAGGCAAATTGCAAGTGGATGAATGAATATTCAGTTTGCGAAGAGTCTATTTAAATTTCTAAATTTTTCATAAAAATGTACATAAGTTTTTTAAATCTTGTTAAAAGACTTGTTACTAAATTTTTTTTTACTTTTCGAGCACTTAGAGATAAAAAAAAATACATGATGAAATAATAAAAGATTACGAAAAATAAAAAAAATAAATAGATTATTAGAATCATTAAACAATAAATAGAAATAAAATAAATTATTGCATTTGTGTATTTTTTCCTCATTTTTCAGGGAGGCTTTCGGCTTCAAATTTTAGATGCTCTCGACAGGCCGCTAATCGACTTAACGCCTGTGACGCAAACCAGTGAATTCGTCGAAGATGATGCTACGTAAGTGGGCGATGACGCATGTTTCTCTTGTTTCTGATTATCATAAGTTTACAATTTTCAGAGCACAAAGTTACGCTGTGCAGCTGCCGCAAGATTTCACATGCACCGACTGTACCATCCGATTACTGCGAGAGGCCGAAGAATGGGGTTCCAGTTATAGATTTTGGTCGTGCGCAGATATCGACGTGAGTTTCTCATGATTTCTCTTAGAAAATATGGACATACTTCTGATACTTAAATATAGCGCGGTAGTAATACTTATAATTTGAAAGAGAGATAGTTTATTATAAATCATTCTTACTTGTAAAAGTTCATGTAAATGATTCTTTTTGCGTTACTTTTTTCTAACTTGCTTCTCTTTTTTGCATCAGAGGTCGCGCAGATGTCGCAAAGATGTCAGTAATAAACTACAAAAAAAATTAATAAAACCAATTTTATCGCAATTTGTGCGGAAAAAAAGTTTTTTAACTATGTTTCTCGCAGTTTCTTTTGTGTGATTTACATGTTCCTGTCGACAGATCCTCGACAGGAAAGTTTATCGAGAGACTTGCAGCGGTCACGGACGTTACCTGCTCGGCAGGTGTAGGTGCGATCGTCTCTATCACGGCACGAGGTGCGAATTTAAGGAAGAATGCCTGGACGACTCGGACTGCGGTATTCAGGGCACGTGCATCGACAACGGTGGCACGACCGCGCCTACCAAGCACTGCTACTGCAATGCCGGCTGGTTCGGTCCGGGTTGCGGAAGAAGTAAGTTTCACCGCACACACACACCAACGCAAAATTTCTTGTTGGAATTTCTCGCGTGCCATTGGCCGCGACCACGCTTCTGGAACACTTACACTGAACTGGTGTTCACAGATATTGAAACAGAAAAAAGAACCGCTGCGTAACATCGCTTTAATGCTCTTTTAACGTCAGACTTTTACGATTCAAGAATTATTTTTTTAAATTGAAATATTTAAAATGCTATACTATTTTAGACGCTCTAAAAAGTTTAGCAATTATGAAACATATATTAATAAAACAAGTCGTGCGGAAATATCAAATACGCTGTACAATTTATCTCTATTGCAAATACTCGAAAAAGGCTATAGAAAACGTTATTTATATCTCACGAGTTTGCGGTAAGAAATTAGCTGTAATAATCACTCTGGCATCGTGAATGATTCTGCTTTCAGGATCTCCGGTGAAAAACATTAACGTAGACATAAACGCGTACACGATGAAACGATTCTCCGACGATATTGTATTTTATTGGAGAATTCTGAAGGATAGTCAAGAATTGGAAGGTGTTCTCATGGCTAACTCGACCACATGGGTCGGCATCGGATGGCGGCCCAGCGATTTGGGTCCTAGTTGCCGATCTTTTCCGTTGATTGCTGAGCGATCCGAACCGCTACCGCAGCCGGAACCAAAATTAGAACCGATTGCTAATACAGAACTTAAATCAACGGCCAAACCGGATCTAGAACCTGCGGCAGAACCGGAACCGGAACCAGAACCAGAATCAGAACCAGAACCAAAATCTGAGCCTGAGCCTAGCGTGGAAAGTGAGAAATCGGTAGCAAAAAGACGATCGGCTAAAGCGGATGCTGCAACGTTCGATGTAACGTCGCGACCGGATGTCGATGTTACTGTGCAAACTAGCGTAACCTACCAAGTCAGCACGAAGCAAGGTAAGACTTATTGATTAATTATTTTATTGCATTAATATTTTCCGGAAAAGACATTTATTAATGTTCTCATTGGATTGCGTGCAAAGCATTGCAAAAAGTTTTAATAAGCACGCACGTAAAAACATCGTGTTTTCTATTGTGCATAGTAAACATTCATTAAAGACACTATCATTTACTTAAGTTTTATATGTTACTTATTATAAGATGCAGAGTTCAAAAGATAATTACATAAGTACTTAAGTAGCAAGATGACGATGCAAACAAAAAATTGGCATTTGAATATGTTACATGCGGTTTTAAACATGCACAAACAAGCATCACAGAAAATATAACGTTTTGTGAGATAGTTTTGAATCACTATTTAATTATTTTTACAGGTCGCAAGAAAAGATCTCCAGATCCAACTCCGGTCTCTGCAAATGGTATGTATAGTATTTTTGTATTCAGAACAGCTCCAACGAGTCGCTTGCTCAAGGACTTAGCAATACGTAGTTTACCAATGAAATCCCAGTAGTTTTCGTAGCAGTACCCTCCCTTCGAGACACGACGCACGAGGTGATGGACTTAATAAGTAGATAGGTTTGCACGACGTACGATGCTTTGTTGCACAGGGAAACCGGTCGCAGAGTCCAGCGTCGTCGGGCCGAAATCCGAGCCAGAACCGACTTCTGAGCCAGAGTCACAATCCGAACCAGAACCAAAATCCGAGCCCGAACCCAGCTCTGAACCAGAGCCAAAATCCGAGCCTGAACCTAACTCCGAATCAAAATCTGAACCCGAACCTAGTTCTACGCCAGAGCCAAATTCTCAACCAGAACCCAGTTCTGAGCCCGAACCAAAATCTGAACCGGAATCTCAATCCGAGCCGGAACCTCAATCCGAGCCGGAACCTAATTCTGAGCCGGAACCAAAATCCAAATCAGCTAGCTCTGAACCCGAACCAACGTCTGAACCAGAACCAAAATCAGAGCCGGAACCCACATCCGAACCTGAACCTAGTTCTGAACCAGAACCAAAATCCGAGCCAGAACCAAAATCCGAACCAGAACCTAGCTCCGAGCCAGAGCCGAAATCTGAACCAGAACCGAAATCCGAGCCAGAACCAAAATCTGAACCAGAACCCAGTTCAGAACCGACGTCAAGAACAGGTCCGAAGTCGGGAGCGACAAAAGGTAACGAGGATCGATTTAACGCTTCATTTTGCATATATCGCTATCATTAACTCTTAAACTACCAGAGATTTTTCAACTTTTTTATAAATTCAAGTATTGTTGATCGTTACAATCGCGCAATTACTAAACCAAAAAAAGTACTAAAACTATTAAGTGAGTAAAATACATTTTCATAGGTTTCTATTATGTCTGAAAAAACTCTCTTGTAGTTTAGCCATCAGAACATTCCAACAATGATCAGTAGGATGTACATCATTCGTGACTTTCGGTATTCGTGACTTTCACGATAATCCAACGAGAAAAGTTTGCACAACTGGCACGTGAAGATCTCGCAACGGTAAATATTTGCCGAGAAAGCGTAATTAGCGTGGTGATAAGAAGCGAGAACGATCTGTTCCGCGCGCGCGCGACATCCGCTGCTTCTACCGGATGCGACACTGATTGCGAGATGTTAATGCAACTGCGTCGACTATACACAAAAATTCTCGTTTATTAATTATAAATTGCGATTCTAACGCAATCTCTTTATTTGTGCAGCAGTAAAGAAACACTTGTAGATAATAATATCGATGTAACGCTTTTATACGCTACACAACTCACCTCGAAATTTATTTTCCCCTGTAAATATCGATAATTTTCGAGTTAAAGCATGCATATTACTACGACACGAAATTTGCACGTGTCTCGATTTGTACTCACGTCACGATATTTCTCCGAACACCGTAGGACACCATTTAACTTCTCATTATCATAACATCGATTCCCATCTCATTCTGCAATGCAACTGAAATGCATTTTAACGAACTGGGAAGTTTTAGAAAGCATATTTTAATAAATAAAACTAACAAAGAGACAGAGAACATGTCAAATACGTGTCAAATCCTAAGAAAATGCATTATAAGAAAATAATCTCTTTTTTATATATTTTTTGCGTATCTTCAGAAATATTTAAAAAAATGTGTATCAAACGCATTTCAGTTTATTATTCATCAGAAACATTCCACATAAAAAAAATGATACGGGGAATGTCTTGCATTTGACATTATGTTAACTAAATTTATGTCTTCGCGTCTGAAGCATCACTGCCAGCGCCGGCGCACAAGTACGAGCCCAAACACGACTTCAATCCTATGGACTGCACGGATATTATAATTGGAATGGCGCGAGGAACGAGTTACAGGATCGGCGATTATTATACGAGGGACAGATCGACGCCTCGCAAAGACGAATACTGGGACAGAAGCGGGAGCGACAGCTTGACGGCCGCTTTCGGTTACGAACGCGACGGAGTCACGACGATACTTTTCCGCCGAAAATTGACCGCCTCAGAGCCGACCGATCACGCGATTCGCGACGGCAATATGCAGGTGATTTGGGCGAAAGGTCAAGAACCGGGCAAGTACGTGCATCAACCGGCTAGCGGGATCGAAAAGGCCAAGGTCAGCGTTAAAGACTTCTACAAGGTCGACGAGCTTAAATATCACGGGCACAGAATGCAGAGAGGCGCGGTGACGATGAATTTCTTTGGTGAGAACTTTTATATTCAAATTTTTTTGCCAAGTTTATTCCGAATCGCTAAACTACCATATAAGGTACATATTTGATTAGCGACATGTCGCTAAACGCGCAACGTTAAAATTGTAAACTGAACGGCAAATATCCCGACATAAACCAAACACACACCTTACATGACAAAATCTCATATCTTGAATATTTAAAACATGACTTTTCAGTCTTTTAATTTTCGAGTGATATTTATTTTATATTTATTTTATGACACACACACTTGGATTATTTCACGTATATATTATTCGGACATTTCAGAGGAGACTAAGAAGCCGGAATTCACTGGCGGTGTCACGTTACAAGATGGTAGCTGCGGTGGGCAGTGGCGTTATCCGAGAAATTGCTCGCCAGAAAATGGCACTTGCGAATACTCCATACAATGGACGTACAAGGGCAAGAAAGTAATTCTTCTCACATTTCTTTTGACGTTTTCCTTATGTGGGAGCAAACAAAAAGAGCTTTCTCTCTAGCGACATCAATATCATGAAAATTCTGTTTCTCCGCAGGATCTGATATCATTCGTAATTTCTACAACGAACACCAACGCGTGGACCGGAGTTGGATTTTCCGATGACACCAGCATGGTAATTTTTTTTTTTTTTTTAATTTGTGTGCGTGCGAGAAAGAAAGAAAGAGAATATGCTCGAGAAAATATTTTAATTTCTCAAAAAAGACATTCAACTAATGTTATTCACTTTTCTTATAGAAAAAAATATTGAAGTAAAAATTTGCGGCTTATGGGCAACGTTACGATTATCTTTGTATTTTTTTTTTTTTTTTTCAGTCGCAAACCGACGCGGTTTTGGGTTGGGTCGACAAGAACAGCGGCCGTGCTTTTGTGATGGACACTTGGATTAGTGGTTACAACGCGCCATTGTTGGATCAGTCGCAGGATGTCTACAACACCAGCGGTCGCATCGAGAATGGTGTAACTACACTGAGATTCTCAAGAAAACGCCTCACGAAGGACACCAAAGATCTTTCGTTCACGGACGATCACTGTTTGTACATGATGTTCCCGGTAAAAGGTGGCACATTCAATCCGATCAATAAAAAGATTCGGAAGCACGACGAAAATCCGGTTGTCTCGTCAGATAGAATATGCATCAGGTCATGCGGCGTGGAAGGTAAATAAAAAATTTCGGATTAATTGACACGTTGCGTTTTTATTACTTGCTAATGTGTTGTTCAGTAGATAATATTTACTTTCAGTAGACAATATAATCATTTAGTCTCTTTTTATAACTTAATTATTTAAGAAATATCGTGAAGTATCGTATTGTTCAATTGCTCATTCAGATATCGAAGATCAAACCACGACCGCACCGCCAAGACTGCATTACGACATCGAGATAAAACTCGTCAATCTGGGCGACGGATTTATAACTCCCACGCCCGATAGTCCTGACTTTGAAGTGATCTCGAACAGAATATCAGAAAGTTTCGGGCCGGTGTTCGAGAAGCTCCCAGGCTACTATCAAGTCCGCCTTGACGAGCTACAAAAGTAAGATAAAGCTCAATCAAGAGAAGACTGATAATAATTTAATAGTGTGCGGTAGTTAAATGTGTTATTCCTGTCTCTCTTTCAGAGATAATGAAGGAGTGATTGCGCGAATGAATTTGATTCTTGATAAGAATGAGGCCAAGGGTAGATCTCTGAAAGCAGCGGATACTCATCTTGAAACGGAAAAAGCATTACGCGAAGCACTTGTGACTGGCAAAGTAGGAGCGCTCAGTGTCGACCCGCAGTACTGGATAGTCAGATCACCTCGAGGTAAAAAACAAATCGTTAGATAATTAATCGTTAAATAATCGTTAGATAATTAATTTGTTTTGATCTTTTTTATAATATCGTTTTAAGCTCTCTTTTTTAGTTATTATATATTTTACTTAAATGTTCTCATAATTTTTTAAATACAAAAAGTAGATGCTTCGGCTATCTAAAGGTATTTTACTCATTTGTCATCCTTATTATTGAGAAATGAATATTTGTTTTCAGTGAACGATGTAGATGCAGAAGACGAGATTAGTCGACCGTCTTCGACGTCGGATTTATTCCTAGGCGCGACAAAGCTTTACATTGTCGTGGGTTGTGTAGCAGCTTTGCTAGCTCTTGCATTGCTGCAAGCTAGTTGCACTCTCTACAGAAGCTCAAAGCGACGAGCAACCAAGGTACGGTCACATATGTCTGTATTAGACACTTTTTTTGTTAGACGTTTCTTGTTGTATTTTTTCTGTCTTCACTTTTTCTTGCATCCCCGAATCTTCTTTCTGTGAGTGTTGTGTTTTCTTTTCTATCTTTAACGATCTTTTATAGTAAACCTAACGTGTTCCAAAATACATGAATAACGCATCTTAAAATCTTATTCTTGAAAAAAAAAAAAAAAATAATTCTTTTGGCAAAAATTTTGTCAAATTTGCTCATTCACACATTCTAACTTTTTTCTGTCTAATAACTAAATAGCTAAATGTGATATTAAGCTATATCATAAAAATATAAGTTAGTTGAAAAAGAAATATCGAAGAGACAATGGTAGAGTTCTCTTTCTTTCGTAAATTCTTTGTAGTTCGATGGACCCTCCAAAGTACAGTTGTGCGTATGCTTTTTTGGAACACCCTGTAGCGTAAATACTATACACACTTTCATCCTCTAATAAACCCGACGACATCTTTTGCTTCGCTTGTGTTGCATGACCCGCGCTCCTCCGCGACCAAAAAAGAGGGTGTACTCGCTGCCTCTGGCTTCTTCTGACGCGCTGAACCCGATTCATCGCACGACCGCGACGCGGTACCATCAACAACAAAACGGCAATCATCATCATCATCATCATCACAACCATCACAACAACAACAACAACAACAACCACTACCATCATCATCACCAGCTTCGACATCATCAACAATACGTCCCGTCCGATATGCATCGAGCTAATCCCAGCTGGTAGAACTCCTCATCGGGCATAATCGGTGCGCAATATTATCCTTGTCCCGTCTTGCTGTCTAATCTGAAGATACTAAGGCTGAAATTTTTAGCGCACTCTTTGTAACCGCATCTCTTCGCATCTTCGCACTTTCTCTTTACATCTTTTATCTCGCCTATTTCTGTTTCCTACTAATATATAGGGTGGTTTTAGTTTATAGTATATATAACATAAATATTTGTGATATATTGTTTTTTCATTTTTTCTAACTTTTTTCCATAATTATATGAAATAAATAATATTGCTCTTGATTTTTAATCAAAAGAATTTTAGTTTTTAGTCTATTTGTTTTTTTGCTTAGGAGCGTTTAATCGTCAGTAACGCCTGGAAGGATTATGCTTCTGGCGCAAACACGAATTTTGCGTTTGAGGCGTTCGAGACGGAAGAGAAGGCGCCGCCGCCGCCGGTGTCCAGTCTGCCGCGTCACAGAGAAATCATCAGCAATGGTACGACAGGCATGAACGGTCACGACGGTATTGACGGTCCGAATCGAATGGTCGGACCAAGAGCGACGTACAGTCTGCCACGCGCGCCAGGCGCCAGGCATTCGGCACCGCCCATTCAACCTGGCTACTATACTCAGGACCGCAGGGATCATTACGGACGCGCCAGAAGCCTGAATCCAGCGGGCACCGCGACCACTCAGATAAACCAGCCGGACTTCTACTTCATGCCCAGTCAGCGAAAGTACAGCGGCGAGGTCGTGCGCGTTTACGTGGATTACGGCAGCCAGATGCCGAAATAACGAGGTTCAGGTCCGATCCCTCCCCGTTCAGAATAAATCTCCTCGTTTGATCGAGAAGCAACTTGTATATATTTGAATTAGTGACGAAGAAAGACACGCAGAATTTCTGCGCGGTGCTATTATCTCTGTCTGTTCTTCCCATTTTCCCGTGGCTTCCCTTTCCCGAAGAAACTCGGGCTCCGGTTTGAGGCACGGAGGGGGAAGTTACCGTACGGAAGCATAGAAGTGGCGCTTACGACCAAAGAAGTTATCCGTAGGGCGCGCGCCTCCTGTAAGTTCTGTACAGAGCGCACGAACTCTTGTCAAACTTTTGTGCTTTTGTGGTGGAAACTGTTTATAGTTATGTAAGTTTTCATACAGTCAAGAATCCGACAAATTTTTGAGGATTTTTTGGTTCTAGCGTGCTTACAGTCTATCCGGTAAGCACATTCGTAGAATATAAAAAAAATCCAACAGCTTTACAATTTAATGTCACATAAAAAAACGTTTTGAAAGAATAATAGTGGATGAGAATAGTGGAGTCTCTAAAATAGCAAACTTTAACAGACTTGAAAAAATTAAAAGTTGTTTAAGAACCCGAAAGATTACGTATCTAAAAGTCATATTGTCCGACAAATACACGTATATCTGTCAATTTCGCATCAGTAAATGACACGCCCAACGAATGTATCTAGTTAAAAAGCAAGTATGAACGTTTGAACAATAAAAAAAAAAACATTTGTACATTTTTAAACAGATATAACCCCTGTCCTGTTTCTTTAATACCCGAATTTATCCTTAAGAGAGTGAGTAGTATTCATATTAATTTCAGTTATAAATGTAAATTGAACGAGATCAAGACTGTGAGAGAATGTTAAAAAAGAGGAGGCGACGACGTAAGTATAGAGATAGAAATAAAAAAAAAAAAAACAAATAAAGCACCTGCGGTGATTAAAGCGATTGTTTAGTTGTTAAGGAGGGGAGGTAAAAGTTTGTTATACGTCTATATGATAACGACGACAGTGTCGATATAGAGAAGTCGTGTTGGTACGGATTATAAATTATTACAATAGTGATAAAATTAACGATATAATACTTGTAATCATAATCATAATAACGATAGTTATAGCAGTAGTAGTGTAACGATGGCAATATAATATTACAGTATTAATTACATTAATGTCGTTAACAACGGCGTCGCGTGCAGCCAAGACTTCCGTGATAGTTTCTATGAGCGATGGAAACATACAAAGCGACGCCAAAGGTAAGCTTTCCCTCCTACTTTTCTCCTTTTTCCCCTCTTAATCCTTGAAATCTCGAGCGTGTATCCTGCCAAATTGTGTATTTGCCCGCGTTTCTATTATTTATACATATATAACTAGCATATCGAGCGCAATATTTCCGGCTCATAAAGTTGATTTTTTCCTCGGTCACACAGAAGTTTTTGAAAAACGAGTTCTTTGACCGAATCTAATGACCTCACTTGACAATGTGCCCCATAAACGCAAGCGTAGATAAACGCGCGTGTATATAACAGGATAATGTACGTGAATAAAAGTCATCGAAACAAAACACCAGCCCTAATTTCGAAGTGTTTTCTGTAAGAAACTACACGTAATCGCGCGCAAGTTCGCGTTTGACAGACACATTGTCTTATTCCTGTTTTTTTTTTTTTTCGATTTGTTGAGTTTTGTTTTTTTTTTCCTTGCTAGCTTTTCACTCTCATGCACGCGTATCGCTTTCAAATCATTCATTCATTCACTCACTCGTTCTCTTTCTTTCTTGCCCATTATTACCCCCTCTGTCTCTTGGCATGCATTCGTATTATCATCAACACTTGTACGTAACTCGTGTCAACATTTATCTCTTCTCTCTATATCGGTTAAAGCGATGTATAATTAAATGTCCGTATTGTGAACTTCTCAGGATCGAACAAACGTCTCTATTAAGAACTTTTCTCTCAGTCCCTACTCTTATGCTAATGGCACTTATTGGCTCTTATTTTCTAATGACATTGGAGACAATGACATCTTCATTCTACGCATGCTACGCATGCTCGCGTGGTCGCTTGGCAAATGTGAGTTTTAATGGGAGAGCAGTATGGAAGGAGGTGTTCACTTTACGGACATCGAACTGATTCGCAATACAGAAAGGTTTACGATGCACGGGGTGTTCACAACGCGGACATTCGACTGCAGTTGAAGAATACGAACAGGCGAACATCTGATAAATGAAGTGAACACCGTAATAAGGCTGATTTAATTTGTTAGTGACTTGTATGATCCTGCTTTTTGTACGAGCCTGTTTCGTAGGTGTGCACTATGAAATGGGCCACTCGAGTTCGCTGCTGTCCATTTTTTTCCAGTGTTTATTTCACGTTTATATACGATGTATCGCATTCAAAACCGTATCTTGTTGTCTCTTTCTGTTAAACACTTTCTATAACACACAACGATCCTTTCTCCCGTTTCTATCGCATCGCTTTCATGCATTTATTTTTTCCTTCACTTCCTCTGCCTTACATCGGAATCCTTGTTGGAAGTTGGTTTACTATAAATTTAACAAAAAAAACAATATTAGAGTACACAGTAGCTATGTGTGCAAAAATGTATAAATTGTTCTGTAACTTATATATAGACAATATTGCAAATATATTTGCAAATATTGCAAGTTTATAATCATATAAAAAAGTCAAATAGAAAAATCAACATTTCTTTCTTTTCGTGAATAGTCCAGACAAATAATTAAGCCACGCTTGGACAGATTTTAGAGTACGATTCCGGAACCTATCCGAGATGGGTTTGAAGTGGACGCTATTGGTGGATTGGATCTGTGATGTTGGAGATAATGTTGGAGGATCGGAAGAGGGAGTTCTGTCTAATGGAACATCTGAAGATTCATCAACAGAAGAAGGAGATTCTATGGCGCTGCGTCAAGCAAGGATATAATGCCATTGTGTATATTTCGTAAAAATTATTAAGATTCAACAACAAAAAACTTAAAACAGTTTCAAAACACTTACGTATCAGGACTCTGATCAGTATCAGACTCCTCGAGTTCGGTTTTGTTTCGTTTCTTCTCGTAAATTAAGATGATAGCGCACAGAACAACAACTTCTGCGCAAATACCTAGGAAGGGCCAGAGTGCGGCGAGCTTGTCCTTGACCCTGAGGAATGTCTTAGCCTCCGACGTGTGTTCCGGATTGGACCAGTTATACGACACTCTGCATGTAACGTTACCGCGATCATTCATCTCGATGTTGTCGACGATTAGAACGGCGCCGTAGATACCCCTTTCTTGATCCTTGGAGATTTTCACGCGACCCATGCTGCTTGTATAATTCTGATCACCGAAAGTCCAGGATATCTTTACGCCAGGGCTTTGCTTTCCGCCGCATACAAGATGGAGCTTCTCGCCCTCTACTACGCTAGTAGAATCAGCTACAAAATGTGCTGTTGGCCTTGCTGAAATAATGAAACACACACATACATACATACGTACATACATATATATATATATATATAACTTTTGAAAATGTCTAAAAAAAACAAAGAACATAAAACAATTTGACTCAAAGGCTAGAATTAAAAAAATCGTTTTACCTTTCAATCAAATTGTTTTATGTTCTTCGTTTTTTTAGACATTTTCAAAAGTTACAATTTTTATATATAACAGAAATACAACAAACATTACAATGAACTACTTACGTACGACTCTGTACTCGGTCGTAGAATTGGCCGTCTTACAAGTAAAATTTCCGAAACTTTCTTCTTTCTCCTTCAATATCTCCAAGTTGTTAGTCTCGTTATCAATCCTAAAGATATCCTCGTTGATAGCTAGCAGTGTCTTTCCTTTTAACCATTGCACTTTTTCGCTGGTGCTTCTATTTTCACATTGAAGTATCAAAGGCAAATCCTTCGGTGTAAGTACTTTAATCTTAATATCTGCGTCAAACAAGAAAAATTTCGTTTTGTTTGGCATTATATAATGTCAAATTACAATTTCAAATAAATCTTTCTCAATGCTAAAAGATTAATCCATGTTTGTATATTTTTGTCTCACTTAATCATTAAAAAAAAAAAAAGATGTTAAAATCATATTTTGTTATATATATAATTTATTATATTTTAGTTTTTTGTTTATAACTTTATTATAAATTTCTCATATATATTACAATGCACGAGTAATAGCGACTACTACTACTAGTACTACTACCGATATATTTAGAACGTCGTCCTAAATATTCTATAATAATAGCTAAGAAAAACACACCCGGTAACTGTAGAGAGATACATACAATTCATACATCCTACTTTTGTAAAATAAGTTCATTCAGTTATTACGTGAACTATGTAACTGTGTTATTGTTTCATTTAAGTTAGAAAAACGTGCTGTTTTTTTTTCAAGTATAAAAATACCTCACACTTTGCTTATCAGAAGATTAAAACTCTCTCCTTTCTTTATCTATGATATTAGCATGACGTACGATATTTCAAGTAGACGTACGTGATTAGAAACATGTGACTAATGTATAATATATGTATAAAAAAAAGAATTATAATATAGATACAGTTTAATATGTTTAAATACGCACATTTATATCAAATGATTCTACTTAAGATTGTGAAAAAATTGACAAATTATTTATATGCGCGAAAGAGTAGTTTTAATATCATAATAATGGTAAAAGAATATAAGTTTTATGTAATATATGTGTATTAAATAATACTTACATACATAATATTATATTAGGAAAACAGTCCCAGATTTTTTAAAGTTGTGTCTTACCTTAACAATTACCATTGCTCGATGAGAAATAGTGTGTGTAATATCATTAATGTCTGTGAATTATTTTTATTTTTTGATACTTACTAAATATATATTTTAGTATTGATGGAAAAATATGAGTAAAACATCTCTCATACGCAACAAGGCAATTATCAGAAGTCTGTTCGAGAGGTGGCAACGACAGAGAATATCAGTTATCAAGTATTATCAGATGGTAAGAAAAAAAATACAGATATAGGATTTAGGCCGTGTATGTACGTACGTGAATGTGCAAATACTTGACTTATTAACCTTATCGATAATTTAGCTGTCGTGTAAACAGATATTCGTTTAATGATCCGCGTAATAACTGATAATAAAATAATAATGATATACACATATACAGTCGAATTAAAGACTAAAAGTGAACATATACAATGTCGCAGAAAAACTACAGGAAACACTTCCAACAAAATTTTGAGTAAAATTCGATTTTTCATTTTTTGTAGTACTGAATTTTTTGTGCTACGAACCGAAATGTATCGAGAGATGGAAAGACTCCGTGCTGTCGGATGTGCACTTGTAATCCCCATCATGACTTTCCGTCGCTTGACTCGTAGAAAGTTTGCTGCTGCCACTGCCACGTTTAGAGAAGACAACCAGCTGACCGCTAGACAATTCAGGTTCCAGCGTCTGGCCGTTTCTTGTCCATCTGATGTTATCGTCTTCTTTGAGTCCACTGCATTCTATGTCCCAAGGTTGACCTTCGTTCACGATCGCTGGCCCCGAATACGTTACTTCTATTGAGAAAGATAAAATTTAAAGTTCACACGCACGTTTGGAAGACAGAAACATCATGTGTATTAGTGTGATTAAATTTTTGGGTTTTAAAGTTACTTTTGTATTATCTGTAAAAAAAAACTGTTTATGTATTTTAAGCAAATAAATTTATCTTTTTACATTAAATAATTTATTCCAAGACTCGCATTTGCGTCGATGTTAGAACGACAACATATGATAAAATGATGACTTGTGAAAAATAGAATTTACGACAAAAACACATATTTGTTCTTATCTTAAAAGATCTGAACACCGATTATACCTGTGCATGTTAAGCGTGTTTACCTCTCAATATACTTAGCAAGAACTTGTTACATCCAACAGATCACATGTTTGTGCGAATGTCACATAGACAGAGACTGAATCGATTACACGTGTGACAATTAGTTAATTATCTCATGAATATTCACGAGAAAAAATAAAGGGTAAAGCAATTCGCTAGAAATAATTAAAATTAATTGCTAGTTCACTGTTCTCATGCTAGTAATATTCAAAGTAGTTCATTTTAAAATTTTTAATTTGTTACAAAATATTTTTTGATAAATAATCATTTAAAAACACAACGTAAAATCTTAGTATAGGAGTTTCAATTTTATTAGATTTTTTCGCTCAATTTCCTGTTACTCTGTTAATTTATTTTCGTGTTATTTCAGAGTGTGATTGCACAATAATCTTGTATCTTAAATAATATTTGCACAAAAGCTTACGAAGACTCGTGATATACACAAATCGATAAATATTCGAGTAAAGTTTACGCGAAATTCTCTTCTCAGCAGTCGCTACTGCGTGTTAATGACTAGTTGGCAAAATTATACCAACGTGATGACGTACGCTTATTTGTGTGTATGTGTGTGTGTGTGTGTGTGTGTGTGTGAGTTATATGCGTCATATAAAGTTTCACAGTAGCAACAAAGCGCTGGCATATGCCAGTGAAAATATGAGTCAGTACACGAATATACAACAGCTTGGTGGTCAAAATAAAGTGTTTTATAGCTTTATTAACAACGACTCTAACAGAGAACAGCTTGTGTAAAGCAAACCACTTTAGTCAGTTACTTCTACTTATAATCTATAACGCGTTAATACTGATAACCACTTCATACTGGAAGAAATATTCAACAAAGACAAACTTCTAAGAACAAATAGTTCGTTTAACGCACGCTCAATTATTCTCATCAAAAGGAGTTATTAAGCGTCTTAATGTTTCTCTCCCGTAGAGTGTAAAACAGTCTTGAGATATAATTTGCAGCTTTAATCACATTTTAGAATATCGATTTTTTTTTCTTCCATATGTTTTTTTAATCCCCTATATAGTTTACTGTGTCAATCAATTTTTTTTATCTTCAGTAAAAACTACTATAAGTGAAGGACCAATACGAGCAAATATATACAAAATGTCCGATATATAAAATCATATTTTCACATACGAACATTTTGTATATTTGTTCGTATCCTTTTGTTTATTATTGACAATTTCACGTTCCGTCTTTCTATTTTTCTTCTTTTTATCTTTTTAAGTATATTATTTCTAATAAATTTATTATTTCTATTTTTAAATATATTATTTCTAATAAATTTATTATTTCTAACGCGTGTTTTTTTGTATATTAATCAATCAAACACACGCGCAACATTTGTTACTTCTTTACGAGGTTCGATGAAACGCGGTTCGCCACGTGCCAGGAACCACAGAGAAATCAATTGAAGTAGTTTGTTAACTAAAACTACTATATGACCTGTGTCATTATCTTCCACTGCTGATACCGATCGAATACACGCGTTTCAAAATTGTTCTCTAATTGAGGGATGTTTTCATTTCCAGGCAAACATCCCGAGCAATTTAGGCCAAAACGTACTGAAAGGGAATTGTCCGATGGACTGGCATGGCGTTAAATGCGAATCAGCTGAGCATGGTATAACTCCGAGAAAATCAATAAACTACGAATGTTATTTTAAGCGTGCTTTCATGACGGCTTCACGCAGCTGAATAATCCGCAAACCGGGCTACCAGACCGGAGGTTATAACGGACTTTTAATTATCTTCGGTACCTATATTCCTGGCGGCGGAACCGCAATTTTTGTCGCTCGCGAATTGAAGAGAAAACACTTCGAAAGGTAACGCAGAAATGTTTTTGCAATAAACGATTAGATTTTAAATAAGTGACATTTCAAGCGAAATTGAATTTTACACGCGCGACTGGAGGACGTATCCTTCGAAATGTATTCACTTCACATTCTCAGCTGACTGTGTATGTATCAGGTTTATGTCGCGCTTTGTGATACGAACTACGCGTACATACAGTCATACCCAGTTTTCCAGGAAAAGAAAACCGGTATTCACATGTATGTTATTAATTCCAGTTTAGTTTTCAATTAGCTTGTCGCGCGTTTTCACAATTCTCAAAATCTCTTTTTAATATTATCCACGTATGTCAAAGATATAGTCTCGATGAAAAAGATACAAATTTTAAATCCGTACCTTGACCTTGACAACTAAAACGATCAAAATAAAGTCTACGACAGTCACGTGGGTTGCGGTTTTGGCGAGACGACGCCGATTCAATTTGAAATATTTTGATCACCGTGTCGCGGTTTATAGATGTAAAAATAGATGAGCCACACACAGCTGTTCGGAATGAAATTTTTAGCGTCCGGTCCAGAGATAGGCAAAAAGACCGCGTTTTCTAACTTTTCTTTTTTTCTCTCTCTCTTCTTTCTTCTCCGGTTGTGTATATTAGAGCTAAGTCTATATACTCCCCGTAGACAAACATGCGAGTTATCATTCGCGAGAAAACCGAGTCGAGTTTTCTGGGTGGACGGAAAATAAGGTCAATCGTTGCGCAACAAAAGTTGCCGCGGCACGAATAGTTCGCCATCGTTGTCGATCGGCATCGTCGGTCCTCGACGTGGTCGTTATTGTCATCGTTGTTGACGGTAATGCATTGTAGGACAAAGAAGACGGTGGTATGCCGCGTAAAAAAATTGCACTTTTACGCGATTTCAGAAGCGATCTATCAGATGCCATAAAAAAACGCCGTCGATCGCGTTGCAAAATCTGCATTATGACGTGATACTCTCTGCGTGTGTGCATGCGGAATACCGACTTATGCAGCAGAAGTGTTCAAACTTGGCAACATCTTACAAAGAGAGACCTTCCTTGTGAAAGTAACATCTCGCAATGACGTACATGCTGAAAATTATTTCTGTACCGCTGTGTTTTATTATAGGGATAAAAAATATTTTTTATTTCTTCAATGCGCTAAAAAGATGTTTTACAAGCTCATGTTTGCAAAAAAGATCGATTAGTGATTGCATCAAGATATGTGATCAAAGAAGTTCAATGAAAAAAAAAAAAAGTGTTTTATTTTGTTCTCGGCTATTATTAATGTTAAACAAAAAAGTTATTCCGCAAAAAAAAAACGTGTACGTGTATTGTTGAATATTGCACACACTTTCGACAAAATTTTAATTTCAATCATTTCAAATTACAGAGATAAGATTGCGTAGTTAGTTCAGTAATAGAAAACGCTCGTCTTGCGTTTTCTCGCGCAATTCAAGTAAAATAATTAGCGCGATAATTATACCCTAATTGCTCTGACTCTTTATGGTTTTTTTCTTTCTTATTCTTTTTATTAATAAAGTTTGTCGTGATGCAATAGCTTCAAGTGCCAAAATATATTTTATGATGCGGCATTTAAACATTTTATTATGAAACTGCGCGAGTGTTAATAAAACGTGCTGATTTCTGATAACTTTATATAAAAAATATTTGCCGTGGAGTCAATGACCGTGTATGTATGTACATAGGAAGATACAAAAGAATTGACACGTGCACGTGTGTGCATGTTGTTACACGTACATAACATATGAAAGTGCTTACACATTAATTATCTATATTACTGTGCGATGTTATATCACACACACACACACACACACACACATTGATGTCGTTAATTTGTACAGATTATTTTAATCGCAAACTGCGAATTTCCTAAAGATTAATGTGCAGCGCATGAAGAAACATGGGCAGTGAACCGCGATGAGTGCAGCATACCGTAAGTCGCGGAGATGCACACACATTTGCAGCATTATCGACTAAACTTTTTTAGAACGCGTCTCGACGCGTGTCGATAAGTCTCATTAAATGACCTAGAAAGCAATGCTCGCCACGTGATAGTCAACAAACCGCGAATTGTTTTAATAAACACGCTTTGTTCCGTTAACATTGCCTACTCGACAATCTTTGCCTGTTGTCGAGTCTCTCGATCAAAACCAATAATTTTCTGGAAATGTATGAAGATGTATAAAACTGTCTTTGCTGTATTTTAAAGCATGAACACATCTTTAAGCTAATTCGAGAGCTAAACCCATCCATCTTAATTTTACTTAGTAGTACAACTGTGTGTCTTTAGTGTGATTATAAATAGAAATCAGAGAAGTAAAATTTATTCATTTTCATTTTTGTCTTGGAAAGGTTTCCGCGGCACTCGTCTCAAATGTGGGCGTATCATCTTGATAAAAGCGCGTTGTAGTATTATTGGAGGTATAAAAAAAAAAAAAAATCAAAACGGGACATTCAATCTATCAATAGTTTGTCTTTGTAATAAATAATAACAATTATATACAATTATATATCTAACAGATGACTTGTTTTTTCTTTGGTATTTTAATAACAATTAGATTGAAGGAAGATAGTCATATTTAAGCCAGATTAAATTTCTGATAGAAACTATCAGATGGATGTAGATTCTGAATTCTAAAATAGTTGTGTTTGAAACGATCGATTATATAAAAAAAAATAATTTTTGTTTCAAAAAATTTAAAAGAGAAATCGTTTTACAATACGTATCTACTTGAGTTTCATTGCCTGAAACCTATTTTGATTTTAAAATCAAAATGACATAACCTGATAGAATTGATTTAAAATAAATACGTAGATCAATTAGTTTCACGTTAATTTAGAGAAGTGTTTTCCTGTTATATCGAATTAAACTGACCATGAGAGACGACTAAGAGTAATGAAAAAGTACATAAGACGATAGTTCAGGAAATTATATCACGCACGCAATAATTTTGTCATCGATAACGTGATCTTTGATATATTGCAGTCTGTAAAGTTTATCGGTAGATATATATATATATATATAACGTTGAAAGTATCACATGATAGAGATCTTAGGAGAAATATACGTGTTATAAAGATACACGGTAAATGTGCTGACGTCTGTTTGGTAATGAACAACGGTAACCCCAATCCCAAAGATTCCTGCGATCTGATATTCGCGATAAAAATCGCGATCCACATTAATGTAACAATTCCCATTTCAGAAATTGCGTTATCGGTCAACGTAAACGTCAACTGGCATCAACCTACGTACAAATCGCGATGTCGCGATTAAGCTGTCCGTCGTATCGACCGCTACGGGATTGGCGACAAGTTTTTCGTGGAAAAAGTCTTCTGTCGTCATTCTCGCGTTTGAATAGCGAACACGGAGTCAGGTGCTTTTTACGAGAGACGATCATTCGTCGACGTTATCGTCGATGTCCCGCTGAGAGGGTACATAGTAAATGACCGACGAGATACCAGGAATCGTCTTACGAGGAAAACCCGAGTTGTCGCGTGCGCGCAGCGGGATACAAATAAACGATCGGCGTGTTTGGCCGCCGAGAGAAGAAGAGCAGTGCCTGAGAGAAACTCACCTGCCTGGACTGTGACGAGGGTGCCCGCCGCTAAATATAGCATCCCCAGCAGCACAAAAGCGGCTCGTTTCTCCATCCTGGTGGCGCTGCTGATGTACGCGGTGGCGCGTGACTGTGTGTGTGTGTGTGTGCACCGTACGATAATACGATATCGACGAACACGACGTCGTCGTCGTCGTCGTCGAGAGGATCTTCTTCTATAGACAGGATGTAACTAATCACAATCCGATGATCTCGCTTTTACGATGTTCTAAATGCACCGTCGCATACGAGAACGTCGTATCACGACTGTCGTCCTCCTCGTCCTTGTCGTTGTCTTCGACGTCGTCGTGGCCGTCGTCGTGATCGTTATTTGTCAACGTCACTTCCAACTCGTCACACCTCGTAATCTTGTTCCCTCCGATATTCACTTGCTCGCCCGATTTGTAAACCGCGAGCCGCAAACGAAACTACTTTTTACTCGATCGTGCGCGACTGACGATCGCGCGTACAGACCGTTCCCGTCACACCGCTCCTTCTTCTCCTCCGCCTTCTCTGCCTCCTCTTCCTCCTCTTCCCGCTCCGGTGTCGTCGCCGACGACGATGAGAGAGCGGTCACGATATGTCACTGACGTGCGATGTCTTTATCGTTATCTCTGCACTTCGCTCTTATCTTGTTTTTAATGCGCACCGAAGACAAAGATTTGTCCAGGTACCGTGGCCGTTGCTGCTGACACTCCGTCCGTCGCTCCTCCCTCTTTCCTTCTCCTGTCGTCCTTCTCCTCCTCCACCTCTTCCACTTCCACCACCTCCTTCTTCCCGTGTCGCCGTCGTCGTCGTCGGGCGCACTCCTGTGTGAGAGAAAGACGGATACCTATGGTACACTGGTGCTGTATTGGCTCAAGTAGGAGACAGATTTCTACAGAGCAAACACCGCAAGGCACCACAAACCACAGTAACGTCAAAAAATAAAATGGCCGTCGTTCTGTCTTCTGCTCCGAGTCCCACGGGGGATACGATAAAGTCGGGAACACATGAAAGAAACATTTTAAACAAGACTTAAGCAAATCAACCAATCACAGGTCGGCGTTCTCTCAAATATAATTCACGTTCAACAGAATACCGGCTTGTGATTGGTTGACTTGCTCACTGACGGGAACGCACCACACACATGAGTAAAATCTTCTGATAAGACCCACTTTAGGCCCGATTTCTTCATATCTTCCGATAGGTATCCTCTGAATAAAGGATTCTAGTTGTTCCACCTTCAAATAAAGTATCGGGTAATCTATATGATAATACCTGTCGAGTAACCTGAGATTTATCGGAAGGAGGAACAACCAGCTCAAAGACACGCAAAAAGATATACTTTATCTTTTAAATAAAGTTCTTCTAGATCAAGAACTTATATATCTATATAGAGATGAAGAAATTGGGCATTAAGGCCCGTTTACGCAGGTTGCAGGTCTCGCGAAATTGACTAATCACGTTGGCCGATTTGATCAACGTGATTGGTCAATTCCGTGAGACTTGCTTCTGTGTCTTATGTAGATAGTATTGAATACCGGAAATCACGTGATTCATACATCATTCAAATTTTTAAATTGACAATTATTAACATTCACAAACCGATCTTATATTTGAAATCACCTTAAGATGATCTCAAGATGATGTGTAGCTAATAACACAGCTCATACAGAACATCAAAATGAAATTCAAGGTAATCTTAAATTTAAGATAAAACTGCGAATATCAGTCACTGATGATATTTTGTATAAATATCAAAACTTAGTGTGTCATACGTAATATTTATTTTATTTTATATAATAGAAACAAATTATAGATTTTTATTTTTAAAATGAAGTTTTATTTTAAATGAACTATAGCGCGAAAATAGAGCACATTGAACACGTGTGGTGCGCACGCTGATTTATATTTATTTAATTCTAACGCGAATTTCTCGTCACGCTTGCATCGGTGTTCGTTACATTTCAATAAAAAAAATAAAAAAAAAAAAAAAAACAATTGACTTTCGGGTTTTAACGACTGCATGAATATCACCGGAAACGCACTTCGGTTGGTTTGCCGCCAAATTATCCTGCGCGTGTTGCGATGAAGTTGTTTATCCATCGGTTCGCAGGTTTGCTCGCGGTCAATGTCGATAACAGCGTAAATTGTCACGGTTCATGTTTGCGTATCGCATGTTAAAAGTGCTCAGAATTGTTGCCGTGTGTCTGTCGAAAACGTATTAGTCGCCCAAAAGTCCTTTGTATTCGTTCGATAATATATCATGGCCAAAGTTCAGTTGGTGAACGTCGCCGTTCTCGACAATCCCTCGCCGTTTTTGAACCCGTTCCAATTCGAAGTTACATTCGAATGCATCGAGGAGCTGAAAGAAGGTGCGATACTAAATTTTTATAAATACGATGAACCGCGCAAGAATTTCGATACTTTATCCTTTTTATCGAGTTTACGATAGACAATGTTTGGATGCTCCGTTTTTAGGTTAACTTTACACAACACTGACACACGTAGTTATGAAAGAATTGGTATATAATATGTCTAATTATAATGAAAAATAAGATTCATTAAATGTTCTTCTTCTATTTTAAAGGAAAGTAGATGGTTAGAGATGATCTTCAGAAAGATACAATAGACTTTATCTAAGTGTTATAGACAAGTCTTTGAGAACTCTCTATCTATCTATTACTTAAGTGTCATGTGTTTAAATATGTATGATACAAATATCTATTAGTTATACTTTACAGAGTTTATATTCTGTCAGTTTGTTCATATTGAATAACATATAATTGATATTTATTTTAGATTTGGAATGGAAGATGATATATGTTGGCAGTGCAGAATCAGAAGAATTCGATCAAGTTCTAGATACCATTTATGTTGGTCCAATACCAGAAGGAAGACATATGTTTGTATTTCAGGTAAAATGTCAGAAATAATATATGATTGTTTCATATCATCAAATTTTATTGCTTGACAACTTGAAAACTATCATATTTTTTTATTTCAGGCTGATCCACCTGACGTCAGTAGGATTCCAGTTAACGACGCTCTTGGCGTAACAGTGGTGTTGCTGACTTGTTCCTACAGGGGTCATGAATTTGTACGTGTGGGTTACTTTATAAATAATGAGTATACAGATCCAGAACTTCGAGAGAATCCACCTCCACAGCCGCAATTTGAAAAAGTTCAGAGGAATATACTAGGGGATAAACCACGTGTCACTAGATTTAAAATCAATTGGGATGACTGTCCAACTGGAACAACAAACAATCTTCCCGACGGTATGGAAGCACCATCGTTGGAAGATACTTCACAAGATGCACCTACATCCACCTTAGGCTTTACAGAGAATACACAAAATAGTGGAATGGAAGTTATGTAAAACAATTTGCAGCTAACGACATATGACCTAGGGGAGCCTGTGCTATACAGTAATTTAAATGATAAAGTAGTACCTGGGAAGAAGATGGGAGCGTATACTTCGTAAATATATTTCGATAATCTGAGAAACAGAATCGCGCAAAAGCACACTATCTTCCATATAATTATCAATATTCTCCTTCAAAAAGAAGTTTATACATCTTAAAAACAAAAAAAAAAAAAAACACTGTGTGTTGACCATGTGATAACCTTATGCCTGAGCAAGAGTGCGCGCACCGCCGCGCATCATGGACTGTTTGTGAAATAGTTATTCTATCATTTCTCTTAATCAAATAATGGTACTGAATTACTGAATTAAATTATTGTGTCTCTTCTTTGAAAATGTAATTTTTGCTAAGAAGCGTACACAGATAGTGGCAAATAGTATTCATAGCATCATTCACAAAAGTGATTGAATATAAGCGATAATAAAATTTATAAAATTCAATTTTTTTGTGAGACACACGCAATTCTTTACAAAACTAAAACAATACATTTAATTTTCAGTGATAAAATTAGTTTTCTTTTGAGATTCGATGCGTTTTTTGCAAAGTAGCTAATGACTCAAAACCACAGGATATGCGTTTGAAACTTTTATGTATTACATCATTATATATTGCTTGTACCCACGTTGCATTAGATTGTAAGACGGTTTCCATTTTTATTAGTGTATATGTACATACGTACTAAGATAAAAAAAAAAAAAAAATACACATTATGTTTTTTACTTGAAAGAAAAAAATGTTGTATTTCTTCACAGATTTCCCTGATTTAGAGTCTGACATTGATTCTATTTCAAATTAAATTGCTACATGTAATAACAATGATTTTCTTTAACAATTTATCATATTTTACGTTATTATATTTTTTTTAATGCATATATTCTTCACTACATGTCTTTGGTAATATATATAATAATTACATCTAGAATATATATTTATATTTTTCATCAAAAAAGCAAATATTTTTTTTGACAACTAACGGCCGTAATAAACATTGATAGTTTATAGTTACAATATATAGCGACAGTTTCCTTTATTTTTTTATTAAAAAGAGCAAAAATAGGCTACATTTGAGATCTGTGATTGTTTGATATTCTTACGTCTTAGTACTTACGTTTTTTTGTGTTATACTTTGAACAAATGCAGTTGCGAGTTGTTAACATTGCGCCATTTGAAAGACATCACCCAGATAACATTTTGCGAGCAAAATCGTATTCCTGTGCGTCGTCGTATGAAGCATATAAATCTAGACAGCATTTTGTACGTGAATATCCAGTCATCACACACAAGAACGACTCATTCATCCTAAGTATGTAATACAATGTCAAATTAAGAGTAAATAACTTGCAATATGTTAGCAATTTGCGCGTTATTTGTTGGTATATTGGATACCCAGCAAACAATTTGGTTGTCAGATGTCGCGATTTTGTCGTTAACTGCTACTAAATCCATATCCATCTGTGTCTTCAGTAGGATATGGTTTTGGTGATCACGTTACGTTTTTTGTGTCTGTGTGTCAACAGCTTTGGCAGCACACAAAGCATGTTTCCGTATTGTAGCGATTCTGCACACAGTTTCTGTTGCCAGGTCTGCGCAGTCAGAAATTGTTTGCTGGGTAGTTTCTTGTGCGTAATATGCACGCGTGTGCGCGATGAAATATGTTCACAAGCAAAATTCAGGCAAATCACATACAAGATTTACATAAATTTAAATTTTTAATTTAACGCGCGCAAACCTTGCACGCAAGAAATGTTATCTGGGCATTTTGTCGCAAATATGTCAATTTTGCTTTATCATGTTCGGATTTGCTATTTAATTTAAAACTGCAGAAAAAAAACTACACAAGTTCATTTAATTTAGTTTATCTTTCTTTATATTGCTTACACAAAAGGTTTTTTAACTTTTATTGCATAATTACCAAAGTGTAAAAAATATCACGCAAATTATACATACATGTATATGTATATATGTAGGGATATTACGATTAATATAAATTGAACACTTTATTTTATTTAAAAAGTGTATTAATTAAATTTAATAAGAAAGTGATACAATTGCACTTAACAGTACGACTCTAATCGATCTATCGCGCTTCGATCTCTCGCGTCTCTTGATCTGTTCTTATCGACGGCTACGTATTCTCTCTCGCTGGCTCCGCAAGCCCTTTTTCTCATCACCTCGGTTTTCGGCGATGTTATCGTGTTTTCTTCGCTTCAAAATTGTCGGTTGAGTCGTCAACCGGCAAACAACAAACATCGCAAAGGTGAGAATCGCAAATATTTATCACCTTGACAATCGCGCAGGTATACAAGCCTATCGTGAGATTATCAGTCGTTAAATTCGAAAACAAGAATAATACATACAGAAAATATAAGAGAATATACAAGAATATAATACATAAAGAATATAAGAGAATATACATATAAAGACTCGATTTTAGCCGTGTAATGATTCTTCCTTACATATATTTGATAAAAATTATCTAATAATATAAGTATTGTTATCATTCTTTTATGTTTTTTTAATACATATATTTTACAAACTTTAGAAAATATTAAATTAATTAAATCAAAAGAGCAATTAAATTGTTGAAGATTAAAGATTTTTTAATCAAATTGTGAGCGATTGAAGATTTGATATATCGAAATATTATTAATTGTAACGTGTGATGTGATTGATTAAAGAATTAATTTACCATAATTTTAATTGTTTCATGCTTCACCTTTTTGATTTGATTTTTGCTGTTGTATTTATGATCTGTTTATTATTTTTACATTAATTTATCTAAAAGTTTACTTTTAGCTTAAAATTTCAAACTTATTGCTATAATAATATACACAGTTGATACTTTTAGTCATTATTTCAATTTCAATGTGGTTCAACCCGAAAAATTCAATTTTCTTTCTGCATGGCAACAACCTACCCTTGATTTTCACCGATTAAAGTCGCTTGGCAACAACACATCCTGATCTTTTTTAAAGGTCTGTTACCAAGTAGGATTGAATAGACAAAGTTGGAGAAAATACTTCCTTAAAAGAGAATAAATCTATTCTTTTATTTGTGCGTATATTATACGTATATTTCTATATTTACGAAACTATATGCACTTACACATATTTCATTTATATATTTATATTTATGTTTTTCTTTACAAAAAAAGTACTTTTTATTTATATTTGATTAACAATTAATAATTTATACAGAATGTAATGCTCTGGTGTAATAGCTTTAATTAAATTATTACATCATACATCTAAAGTATGCTTTTAATTTATGTGCAGAAATGTAAGTTTTTAATATATAAGTTTTAGTTCTTCTTTTTAAATATATATCGAAAGAAAGATGTATAATTTATTTAGTTGATTCACGTTATTATTTATACGTTTGCACATTGTGAATTTGTACTACATAAGTTAACAATTATACTTACATAAATAAAAAATAAATCTCATCTTTTCTCAATTTTTTTTGTTCTTTTTTCAATTTTGTTGTGTTCGCGTGTGAATTTTGTGGGACCAATGAGTATACATATATGTATACTCTGCCATCTCCCTTCCTTTATTTATCAAAATCCAAGGTCATAACCGAGCCATGTCTCTGATTGGATGCTCGACAACACGTTTGTGCAGGTTCACTCTTGTCTGACTGGGCCAGAGCTTCTGGCACTTGCTTCTTTCAGTCACTTGCTTCAGTCGTGTGTAACTTCGCAGACGTGTTCCGTTCGCCTCAGGTCTGCTAAGTCGAGAACGTTTTGGGTGAACAAAAGTGAATGAGTTTGTCAAAGTGGAGAAACAAGTTAAATGATTTTGAGATTCAAATTTATATTATTAAATTACTTGCCAGAAGGTTGATATTGCTCCTGTACGTCAGAGTAAAATAAATTTAACAAAATGGTAAGTTAACAAATATATTTATTGTATCTTTTTTTGTGTGTTGTTTGTGTCTTGTTGTTACCAATTTACTTTTAATGTTATCTCAAACTGTTTTTTGCAAGTTTCTTCTATTAAAATAGAACTATCTTAAATGAATCCGACTATGAATACCGGCTTGAGTCTGTTGGCTATTACTCATCAATTTATTATAATTTAACTTTTTGGAGACTTACTATATAACTAAATTTCATGATTCGTATGTAAGGTTATTGTGACTTCAAATTCGTTACGTATTTTTTTATGTAAACTCGCCCCGTACAAGATAAAAATCTTTACGTAAAAACCTCAGACACACGAGCGATTTTCTCGCCACGTGGATTTAAAAAATGCTATAAAGATACTGCTCCTGTGTGTATTACCTGTATATTACCTGTATGTACAAAAATCTATAGCTTCTGAATAATTTTCTCACACGTTATAAAATAGCCTCTTGACAAAACAATCGTTTGTGTGTTTAAGGCCCAAGTGTAAAAACATGTATAAAAAATCATCTTGCAACAAAAAAAAGGTCAAAGAAAACTAAAAAATCGTAAAATAAAATGTACTAGTGTACAGCCGAACTTCTTTTGTGTTTAGAATATTACATCGTGAAGAATATAATGGAAAAGAATTGTGACAATAGAGAGCGCTCTTCTATACCTTCCAGAACTTTTCGTGTATTGCAACTAGTAAATTTCGCGGCTGAATAGACGGCTGCGAGATCGGTGGTTGTTATCATCAAATCCAAATTTTGTAAATAAATTGTATTAGAATTTATTAATCTCGCAAGAACAGGATTTTCTTCTACACATCTTTTTACATATTTCAGTTAGTAAAATGCTTCGCACATAAAAAAAAGTTAAATCATAATCGTAAGATTGTAAGCAAATCCCCCAAATACTCAATCACAGGCCATTTTCTCGCTAACGAAAGATAATGCTGATTTGTGACTGATTGATTTGCTTAAAACTTTATTTTAGTTAAAGATAAATTTTTCACGTGCCTCAATAAAGCCAAACAAAAAAATCCTAATACTCAGTAGAGGTTACAGCGCGAGAAGAGAATTATCTAGAATATTCCAATATCACACACACACAATCAGTGTGTAAATATTTGATAGCATGAACTATAACAACACACTATATATATATATAATAATATCAAAAAATAATAGTCTATAAATTCAACAAATTATCAGGTTTCGAAAATAAATAGATTCGTGAAGAAAATATCGCGTGTGATTTCATCATCCTTCGTTGAGGAGCGTAAGAATCGGAAAGAGAACAAAGAAACGGGAAAAAAACCACCGAATTATCAAAGAAAAAAATCAAACCTTGATTTCAAATAACATACACGCGGTATCACACGTTTTACATTACGCATTTTCGGTATCGCAAGCGGATGTGGAATACGTAGCGTTGCCGAAGATAAATATTATGCCGTCTTTTACAATGGTGTGATAATTTATTTATACGTGTGCAATGTAACAAAAGCAAGGGAGATCTATAAGATTTATAATCAATGCTACGGAAAACTGGAGAGTTGCTAGGGCACTTTTGCGCGCACACACTGAAGTAATGCTTTGATCTGTGAGCGATGAGTCATCATCTTTTGCTGCATCTCTTGGGTCTTCGGCGATTATTCAGCCGCAGGACTAATTTTCCCTGTGTGAAAATGGTGCGTTAGCTTTTCTTGTGCAGCACTGTTATTGCAATTAAACTTATCAAAATAAAATTAATTTTTTTTCGCACTATACACACACACACACACACATTTACAATAAATTACACTGTATTAACTGTAATTAACTGAATGTTTTGCTTTAACTGGTAATAAAGTATTTTGAAATTAAGGAAAGCTTGACCTGTTCGATTTGTTTTTCGTTAAAAATGTGTATGTAACTGATGTGTAACGTAATATTGTAGGGATCTATCTCTGACTATTTGTGTAAAACTAAAATAGATGCAATAATGTTTTCCTCGCTATTTTTTATACACAAAACTACATGTCTCGGTAAAGTTTAATTTTATTGTTAAACCTAACATTGTTATTTTGTTGATTGTCAGTGCGCGTACTGCAATAAGTTTTTATAATTATTATTTTTTAGTCGTGGCGACAACAAGTATATGTCTTTTTGGCTTTATTGGTCATTGTACAAGAATCTAACGCAGCGGCGTTAGTATGTACAAAAGACGATGAATGTCCAGAAGGACAATATTGTTACATGAAGACTAGTTGCGCGCCTTTTACTAATTGTTCGGCTATGTTTAACCGAAGAGAAACTGATTCACCAGCGCGTGACTCTCATCATTGTGGAGATTGTATCGACGGGTAAGAACTATATTTTCTTCATATTTTTTATATCATTATTTAATCGTTTGATTTAGAAGGATGTGATATTGTTAAAATCGTATATGTGTCAGAAAATGTTACAACTTAATATTTTATCCACCATTATATATTCATATATATTTTTTCGATTTATTAGGTTTGTTGAAGACGAGTATATAAATGGTGAACGACCAGATAAATGTAAAAGTAAGGCCGAAATTGAGAGAAAAAAAGACAATAAAGATAATACAAACACACTTTTCTGTAAGTAATATTTTTAAGTAATTTATATTTCTGTTAGATATAAAGAAGAATTAAATTTTTTTCCGGTAGTAGTTGGGCAAGTGTGAACCATTTGCAGGGTGTTTTGCAATAAATAAATCTGCTAATTTTGTTTTCCAAACGTTTCGGCTTTATTTTTAATCTTCTTCAGTGGATTTCTTTGATAGAACACTTCCTCCTGTTTTATCGAATGACGAACATTTTAGTTAAAATTGTGTATGTCGATTGTAAAATTTGATCTGTTTACTATGTGTGAGTCAAGAGTTTCGTCACTATTGTGATAGTAGTAAACATAGTAAACACATACACACATAGTAAACAGATCAAATTTTCAAAAAGAATAAAAGGCCGATACGAGCCGTTCACAGGATGTTGAGCGGAACTTGTACGTGTATACATATATATGTAAACACCTATGACAAGTTCACTTGTAAATTTTTACAAGCGAGTTTTTTGAATTGAAAATTCAATTCTTAAATTCATACGGGATGCGGGATTTGCATCTCACATATGAAAGACCCCGAATACCCCCCTAACTAATTTTTAAAATATTGCGAAAAAAACTCCTCGGCCAGGAGTCGAACCTGGAATCTCCGGCTTACCGTGCCATTGCATTTAAGAATTGAATTTTCAATTCAAAAAACTCACTTGTAAAAATTTACAAGTGAACTTGTCATAGGTGTTTACATATATATGTATACACGTACAAGTTCCGCTCAACATCCTGTGAACGGCTCGTATCGGTCTTTTATTCTCTTTGAAACTTTCACGAGCCTTTAAATATTATTTAGATCAAATTTTATTGAAATACCGTTAAGGACCCATTCAAACTACAACAACAGTATTATTATAATAATTAAATTATAGTAAAGATCTATTTACATAAGACGCAGTTGCAAGTCGCAAAATTGACTAATCACATTAGTCGATTGGTTGATTTAATCAACACTTAACATTTTAGTTATAACTTCATGTATTTGCCACCTATGCAGTAAAGTTAAAGTAAATTGATATACATTATTATATATCTATTATATTAACATATTATTATATTAACAACAGTGACGAAGCTTGACATACACACATACAATGACTTTCTAATTTTAAAACTTTGACAACGACAATTTTAATTTTAATTTACACTTCGTCTATGAAAATTCAGGAGGGATTGTTCAAATAAAGTATTCCACTGAAGATGGTTTGAATAGAATAAACCGAAACGTTTGGATTAATCACATTGATTTAAAATTATTTGCACAACATCCTGCACATAGGTTCAAACTTGCCCGAACTAAACAAGAAAGTTTTTAATTATTATATATGTATATCTTTTTCTATTTGTATAATTATTAATGTTCTTGCAGATTTGAAAACAATTCTACCTATACTGGGAGGATTAATAGCTTGCGGAACTACAGTTTATGTTCTAAGCTATTGGTTTTGTTGGAGAAAATTCTCAAAGTTTTTCAATGGTAAGATGATAATCTTTGATATATATACAATACATATATATATGTATACATACGCTATCTTAAGATAAAAAATCCAAATTTTATCTTCTAATGCCAGCCTGTTAGCGTTGCTTCTAATTGTTGTTAATCTATCGACATAATAATTGTTAGGCTGTAATTGTTTTCATACATATCTAGAGATTACACACGCGTATAAAGCATTAAAAAAAGCTTAAAACTTAAATAAAAACTTATTTTTTATTAAGTAAAAAACTGTTAAGACCAGTTGCGTTTCAGGATGCTGCACAAATGAGGACCACCAATGTGTTGATAATGAACAACCTGAAGATCAATGTGCTGCTAACATAGATATGTTGTTACCAATACCTAGTGCCCCTCGAGATGAGACTAGTAAGTAATAGTATCTGTATATAATGCCTATGAAATATAAAATTAAGAATATATATATATAATAGTTTTTACATATTTATTTCTTAATTTTATGTTTTATGTATGGATGTATGTATACGTACGTACTGAGTGTGTGTGTGAAAAATGGTTGCGATTTTCTCAATTATCACGCAATATTACGTGAATAATACTATTTAACAATTGAACTAACTATATTATTGTATAGTGATTATGTGAATAATCTCGTACGGATAATGCATAAATGCGTATGTTGGTTTGCTTGTTTAGTTGTTGCTGGAAAAATCTTTTTTGAAATATTTTTGTATACAACTCTTTATGAGGTGCTCTGAATTTGTTTGAATATTTTGATATAGATTAACAAAATGGTAGATTAAAAACTTCTTTAAAAATGTAATATTTTATGGTAAAGTTAACATTTATGAAACATTTTAATAATCAAACAAACAAAGCGCTGATTCTGCTTTCTTAGAATAAATTTCTTTTTTCTAAACACACTTTTATACATGTATACTAGCACAACACATACGCGCGCTATGCGCACGCTAATTACTCGCAGAAAGAGACGAACAAATTACAGATGGTATACATTTACACAATTTACATTAAATGCTCATTTTTTCTAACTTGCACAATACAATGCACAAACTAATAGATTGATTAACATTAGACGAACAATTTCACTTCTTATATTCGCACGCTTATAATTTTGAAAGTAATAGATTAAATAAAAACACGTTAACAAAAATGTAATTATTATATTACAGTATGTCTACTTTCAATCTACGCATTGAATGCAGAAATAAAAATACGAAGAATTCAAATTTCAATGCGGTAATTGTCCTGTAACAAACAGGATATTTTACTTTTGCAATATTAAACATATGCACGTTAACTTTGCATCTACGTATGATGACTGTTTTCAGATCTATTTGAAGATGAAAATAACATCCCAAATGACAAAAAGAAAAAGACATGCATAGAAACGCAACGTGCTACAGTGTTTGTACCACCATCGTATGTTAACCATGCAAATTATGGTACGAATGAGTTATACCATTCAATAGACGATACTTCTCATCAAGAAGCTATTCCATTAAATACATCGAACGGGTCGTAAGTAATATGCAGATTTTCTATGTAAATAATTACTTTTTTTTTTTAATTATAAAAAATATTACAAAATTGTATGCAAATATGAACTAAAATGAGTGAGGATAATAAAATCATTGTTTTACTCTACCGGTAATTGTTAACTCTTTAGCGTTATACAATATATTTCGTTATTGCGTATGCAGATTTTACGAGAAAACACTTAATTGTTTTTTTTATTGCAATCAATATATTACATAAAACAGAACACTTGAAAGTCTTTTTCTAATAATACCAAAATATTGCATCAAGCAGAGAATCAATTAGAATGAAAGTTTTTAAAAAAACCTGCGTAGTCCAATAACGCTACTAAAATACGCGCGCATTTTTTTGTGAATTGGATTACCTTATTGATTAACAGCAAATGTATTACTCAGAAATATTAGATTAGTCACTAAACGTCGAAATGATACAGCGTGTAGATGAAAATACAATTTTTAAGTAAAAATTAAATTCTGTTCATATGTATTCGCAATACGAAAAATATTACTAAATGAGAGAGAAAGACTGTGTGAGCGCGTAAACGTGTGTTGTGTGTGTGCGTCTATATTTTTCTCTTAATATTCTCTGTTTACTAAGATGTAAAATATATTGCAGACGTTCTACGGGCATTTCTATGGAAGGTGCAGCAAATACAGACAACAATTATACTAATAATAATAATAATAATAACGCTCAATATACTGAGAATACATCTTTTGATAGACAAAACATCGTGGTTAGTCAAACTAATTATATCAACTTATCTTTGTAATTATATGTTATAATTACGTATACAATTATATACAGGATGTCTGATAATGACCGTATAACCGCTCGTAGGCAGGTCGAAGGGATTATTCTGAGTCAAAAAGTCCTGAACCATTTTTTTCTATTACATATGATAAAGGAGTAATTGTTGAATAAAGTAAGCCAATCAGCGCCGACCTTTAGCCGAACGCACGTCAGTGATGCGCGGCTCACTGACAAACCTAATAAATCGAAAAAATATATATGAATATATAATGGTGGATAAAATATTAAGTTGTAACATTTTCTGACACATATACGATTTTAACAATATCACATCCTTCTAAATCAAACGATTAAATAATGATATAAAAAATATGAAGAAAATATAGTTCTTACCCGTCGATACAATCTCCACAATGATGAGAGTCACGCGCTGGTGAATCAGTTTCTCTTCGGTTAAACATAGCCGAACAATTAGTAAAAAGCGCACAATTAGTCTTCATGTAACAATATTGTCCTTCTGGACATTCATCGTCTTTTCTACATACTAACGTCGCTGCGTTAGATTCTTGTACAATGACCAATAAAGCCAAAAAGGCATATACTTGTTGTCGCCACGACTAAAAAATAATAATTATAAAAACTTATTGCAGTACGCGCACTGACAATCAACAAAATAACAATGTTAGGTTTAACAATAAAATTAAACTTTACCGAGACATGTAGTTTTGTGTATAAAAAATAGCGAGGAAAACATTATTGCATCTATTTTAGTTTTACACAAATAGTTAGAGATAGATCCCTACAATATTACGTTACACATCAGTTACATACACATTTTTGCGCTGATTGGCTTACTTTATTCAATAATTACTCCTTTATCATATGTAATAGAAAAAAATGGTTCAGGACTTTTCGACTCAGAATAATCCCTTCTACCTGCCTACGAGCGGTTATACGGTCATTATCAGACACCCTGTATTATAATGTAAACTTAAACGATAATCTTATACCTAGTCTACAATGAAGGTAGCAAGGCTGTAGTAGTAAAGAGTAAATTATTTTTCGGTGAAGTAATAACGGGTATAACGAAATGGGCAATTCTCATTTCGCACTGCCTACTGCCTTATTGTTAGCCAACGAAAGACGTGTGTTAAACAACGCGAAATAATTACTTGTATAGACAAAAATGAAACAACTCCAAGAACTTTACTTCTTACTCTATACTGCCTATTCCCATAGACGGCTCTTCAAACATTAAATAGCGCTTATGTTTTTAACTTATATTTTTACATAGACATACATATATAGACTGAGTGAAAACGGCGATCGACAATGTAAAGGTCCGTCTACAATGGGAGTAGGCGGTATAGAGTAAGAAGTAACCCAGCAAACACAGATATATAACAGCAACATTGTCGTAATAAAACAAATGTAACAAGTAATATAACATGGTCGTTGCATGTAACATCCATGTTAGTTGTAATTTCCTACTTATCGTATATTGCAGTTATATAATATGAATATAACATGTAAATAGAATGTAATATAATTGTTATATAGTTACAGAAATGTTATAGGAAAGTTATAATGTCATTACCAGCTAATAACAAGCAATATAATAGACATATAACATAATTATATTACATTTATAAAACAAAGTTACATAACATCAATGTTAATAGAGTATAACAGCTGTTATATTACGTATATCACGCTGTTACTTTTATGTTATATAGCAGTTATATTCTGTGTTTGCTGGGAAGGTTCTTGGAGTTGTTTCATTTTTGTCTATACAAGTAATTATTTCGCGTTTTTTAACACGCGTCTTTCATTGACTAACAGTAAGGTAGTAGGCAGCGCGAAATGGGAATTGCCTATTTCGTTATTCCCGTTGTTACTTTATCGAAAAATAGTTTACTCTCTACTCTTACTGCCTTACTACCTTCATTGTAGACTGGCTCTAACGATGCGAAAAAAATGCCGCGACGTCAATGCGATGCTATCAAGAGGCACGGTAGTGCCTCGCGCCGAGTAAATGATACGTGAAGTAGGCCGTTACGTGTGTGTGTAATCAGTGTAATATATTGTATACACGAGGTGGATACGCGATTAAAAAACAAACGTGTTGCGCAACGCAGCTCGCGCGAAAGTTATCGTCGCACGCGAAATTAGATCTGTAAGCGTTGCGAGCTCGTTACCCCGCAATTTTTCAGTCCATAGCTCTAAGTCTATGTATTTTTATCTGTAATTTTTATGTGTAAACTGTAGCTCTTAAGTTTATTCAAAAACACATGTACTAGAAATACATGACAAGAATACAGCTGTTAATTTAGAACAAAAGCGTGGTAATTTTAATCTATCCTGTAACAATCGGTCGCATTTAAAAGAATTGAACATTTAGTAAATGCTTTGTAATTATTGCTTGCAAGATTTTCAACTCACCTATTCCTATTGTGCTGTTACTTCAATATCGGCTATCACAGACACACACATTAATCGCACATGTCAGAACGCAGTCTTTATATGCAGCATTTTGCGTAAGACTTGCCAAAAAAAGTATAGAAGAATACAAGAGTGGCGTAGCCTTGTTAAAGAATAACTAACGAGTGTATGAATTCCGACCTCGTGAAAGATATACTGTAGGAGTAAAAGTAGATAAACTGAAAACCTTGTTGAATGAAGCGTTTGATAATCGAGTTTACGCGGGCAATATTTACACTTCGATCTTGTGTCCTTTACATATTATTTTAAGCTGAACTTAGTCTTAAGTTTTATATACCGCATTCACATTATGAGAATTAAACAATAAAATAATGATGTTTTTTGTGACTCCAATTTATTTCCCTATATGCCAGTCAATGACATATATTTCTCGATAAACTAATAGACTGCCATATTTGATATTTCTGGTGGAATATCTATTTGAATATAATAGAACGATACGATTGGTTAAGCTATCGCTATGTCCATGGGTAGTGCACATTAGCAACTAGAGCCATGTCCACGAGCGATTTGTCGGTGCGTGCGTACGCTATGTCCAAACGTGGACATAGTTCTATTCCGTACTCAGGGCCACCAAACTGCCATATAAATTCTATGGGACCCGGTGGTACCAGCATTTGTGACGCTCTCTGAAAAATGACTGGTAAAATGGAACTAAATTCCAACATGGCGTCCAGTGTTACACACACACACACCACACACATATATATGCATTTAAGTTAGGTTAGGTTATTACACTATTTTATTATTTTTGCTTTAAATAAAAAACAATAGATAAGTTCTTTTTTATTGTCATAATTTATTAAAATATATATAAATATACATAACGTACATATTATAAATATTATATAAAATATAAATGTCACGTTCATCTACTTGCATATGTAAATACTTGTATATGTAAATTGTCTAACCATAACTTGCGACGTTCACGATTTTTTGGGAATACATGGGATGGTACATTATTCCCAGATTTACAAGTAGAAACGCAACATGCTTTTACCATGACCGGCCCAGTAGTCCTGCGGCCTGAGTACAGGGGCTGCGGACTCGGAGTTCTCGAGTTCGAATCCACCCACTACCTAAAGGATTTTTTCCGGGCCGGTTCCTTTCAATCGAGTATATCGATTGATTGGCGAACAGAATCGAGACTCCAAAAATTAATTCGAGTGTAATCTCGAATTAATCATCCTCCCACAAGGCGATCAAAGTCAAAACATCTCAAACACGAGCCCGACACAAGCGGGCGTCGCCCACTGTGAAAGAAGGCCGTGTATCGCGTGGGAGTTAGGAACAAGGAACTGCACAGAAAAAGCTAGAGGAAAAATAGAAAAGACCAGAAAAATAAGAGTAAAGGAGAAGAAGTGAATGTGCCCGCAAAAATCGTTTAACGGTTATGGGCACGTTAAAATAATGACATAAAAAAAAAAAATGCTCTTACCATCTTTAATGTTTATTAAAATGTAACAAAAATGATTTAACAACTGCACAATGTAGTCGCGTATAACTAACGGCAAAACGTGTTGAAACGTGTTCACACGTATTCACATTTGTATTTAGTTCATATATAATCCAGGTACAGTTTGTAAAAGGCGCACAATTAACGCTGGTACAGGTGGAGGTGTAAGATGTCAGCCGCGAGAGCGCGCCAGCTACCGGCTACGCCAGACATCAGCGCCGTCAAACATATCGCTAAGAAATTATATTTGAATATCGTAAGCCACGTGCAACTCTGCATCCGTCCAAAACGCGAGCCACCAAACTGCGTGTACCAGCGTTAGTGGTGCCTTCTATAAAATGTATCTGGACTATATTAACTACATACGAATATGTAAGTGAATACGTGTGAACACGTTTCAACACGTTTTGCCGTTAGTTATACGCGACTACATTGTGCAGTTGTTAAATCATTTTTGTTACATTTTAATAAACATTAAAGATGGTAAGAGCATGTTGCGTTTCTACTTGTAAATCTGGGAATAATGTACCATCCCATGTATTCCCAAAATTAAAAACTACTTTTAATAATGAAATTCCGACATCTATACTACATTGCTCTATTGTATATAATATTGTAATAGAAGAAACTGCAAAAGAATTTGTTTTACAATGGTGCAAATTTATTAACAACATATTAACTGGTAAAATACAAAAAGAATGTTGGGATGCTAATGTTATATATACTCAAGCTAAAACAATGTCTCTGAAATATTCTAAGAACAAAAAATAAAATGTTGACATTTATATTTTATATAATATTTATAATATGTACGTTATGTATATTTATATATATTTTAATAAAGTATGACAATGAAAAAAAACTTATCTATTGTTTTTTATTTAAAGCAAAAATAATAAAATAGTGTAATAACCTAACCTAACCTAACCTAGATGCATATATATGTGTGTGGTGTGTGTGTGTGTGTAACACTGGACGCCATGTTGGAATTTAGTTCCATTTTACCTGTCATTTTTCAGAGAGCGCCACAAATGCTGGTACCACCGGGTCCCATAGAATTTATATGGCAGTTTGGTGGCCCTGGGTGCGCTATGTCCACAGCGTGTGCGGTTCTATTCTGTGCTATGTGCACGAGTTTAAATGGTCACTTTCTTTAAGTGTGTGAGTATATTCGAGAGCGTGAATTTGATTTTTTTTGAAATTTAAAATGACCGATCTCGTGATGAGAAGATGAGAAAGGAAAACAGAAAAGGATAAGAAAAAACCATTGCAACTTTTCGTACAACATAAATGTGATATACCAGAAAAGATGTGATAGTCAAGAAAAGAATTTTATTTTAGCGAGCAACATCAGAATTCGTGGAGTGTAGTCAAATATCATCTCCTTTTACATCATCATTTGCTGTGCTCTGTGCTTTATAAATTTTATTTTATTTTCTTAAAAACACTACATATATATAGATACAAAATACACAAAAAACCATGTATATTATACAAAGGTGTTTTAACGGTACACAAATATAATGTCTGAAAAGTTGCAATTCCAAGAAATATAGCTTTCGTGCTTTTTTATTTAAAACTCTTTATCAATGTGTTTTCTAATTCCAAGTTTCATTTTACAATTTTTTTTTATACATTACAATAGAATACAATTCTATTACACATTTATATTACATACAACATACAATATAATACAATATAATACAATATTATANAATATAATATAAATAGTTATATATAATCCTACCTACCTACCTATACCTATCTTAGACATATCTTAAACGTTACTAGCGTTATTAATTAGGATTAAGGCTGCATAACAGCCTTNCACTTCGGTGCTGGCCGGCTGTTTGATCTTTCTCGACGCTTGCAATCGTGCACATAGCACGGAATAGAACCATGTCCACGTTTGGACATAGCGTACGTATCGACAAGTCGCTCGTGGACATCGCTACGTAGTTGCCAATGTGCACCACCCATAGACATGCGCTAGCTTACGGGCCGGAATAGCGATCGTAAAGCTTATGTCACACTACGGATTGGGATTGAATTGGATTGAAATTTGACCAATCAGAAGAAAGAAAACCAATCCTAAGTTTACTGATTTTTGCTCTGAGTGACCAAATTGCAATCCAGTTTCAATCCAAATCCGTAGTGTGACATAGGCTTAAAAACTTTTATGGGCCTGGCCACTCTCAGGCTTCTCTCTGGTTACACTGGTCTAGTTTCCACCGAAGCATTAATTCACACCTAATGCGACGTAGAATCAAATTCAAGTCGATGGAAACCTGTCAAATTGCGCTGATTTCACTTCCGCTTTGATCTATAAGTACTCTACTTCCAATGGAAACGGAACACTAAATTTGATCAGTACCGGAGTGAAACCGAATTGAGGGTTTCGGTGGAAACTAGACCACTGTGTCACACAGTGTATGACAGCAGGGCCACTAAACTGCGTGTACCAGCGTTAGTGGCGTCTTCTATAAAATGTACCTGGACTATATGAACTAAATACGAATGTGTAAGTGAATACGTGTGAACACGTTTCAACACGTTTTGCCGTTAGTTATACGCGACTACATTGTGCAGTTGTTAAATCATTTTTGTTACATTGTAATAAACATTAAAGATGGTAAGAGCATGTTGCGTTTCTACTTGTAAATCTGGGAATAATGTACCATCCCATGTATTCCCAAAAAATCGTGAATGTCGCAAGTTGTGGTTAGACAATTTACATATACAGCAAGTAGATGAACGTGAAATTCAAAAGTGGCGAGTGTGCTACAAACATTTTTGTGACAACGATTATAGTTCCGAATTACAGTTTCCTCAGTTCTGTCACGAAACGCAAGTAAAANAAAAATTAAAAACTACTTTTAATAATAAAATTCCGACATCTATACTACATTGCTCTATTGTATATAATATTGTAATAGAAGAAACTGCAAAAGAATTTATTTTACAATGGTGCAAATTTATTAACAACATTAACTGGTAAAATACAAAAAGAATGTTGGGATGCTAATGTTATATATACTCAAGCTAAAACAATGTCTCTGAAATATTCTAAGAACAAAAAATAAAATGTTGACATTTATATTTTATATAATATTTATAATATGTACGTTATGTATATTTAT